AAGAGAACTCATATATTAAATTTAGAGTTTAAATCTTTAACACTTGCATTCATTTTCTCTATCAAAGCTTACGATTTTCTTTGTAAAAAAATTCAAATTTAAATATTGATTTGAAACATATTGTGATTATAATAAAGATATATAATAATGTGAAAATTTTGAAAAAAAAAAAAAAGCATAGACAAAACGAAGAATGCATGGGTTGAGGTTAAAAATTATGGAGGAGTTTGCATGCGGCCTCGATTTCTCATAACAATTCACCACCTTTACTCTCTTATCATCATCCTCACCATCTTTAACTCTCTTATATTGTGATATATTCAAATTTATGCCTCTCAATCTTTTTCTTTGGATGCTATATATGCCTTGTATCTATTACTAGTATATATAATTATATAAATGCCAAAAATTAAGAGGAAAAAAAAAACAGAAAAGAACAAGGAAAAATAATATATACTATTACCAGAAAGGTAAGTATTAAGGTAATTTGGATTCTTTTCAAACTTGGGTTTTCATCCAATTGGCTTGGCTTTAATATTCAACATAGTTTTTTGCTAAGATAGTACGAGGAAAGGCTTAGTCAACAATAGGACAGGAGAAGAAACAAAAGAATTCAATCATATTTAATAGTTGGTCAAAAACCATTATCAAGAACTTAAGGAATGGGTTATATTCTCCCAAATTTTATCGTGATAAACGACTTTATTGATGTTTGAATGTAGAAACTAGAAAGACCAAGTCTATTGTATTCCTAGTCAATAGCGTACCGACTTCGACTACAATTGTAAGCGTGAAGTTTCTTTTTTTTTTTATTTTTACTTTGGTTTTTTCATTTGGGAATGGAGTACTGTTTTTTAACTGGAGATTCATGCATTGCACCTCTTGTTTTAACCAATTACTCGGATTTAGTGTTTTCTTCTTTGTTATTCCTATAGCTACGGAAGTTTTTATTATTATTTTGTTCTTTATCCATCACTTACATTTTTATATTTAATATATGTTGATTGTCTTTATAAGTTTTTTTGGTCATCAAATCAAGTTAAGTTCGGATCAAATTTATATATAATATTAATAAATTATATGCTTATTCAAATCTAATTCGATTTAACATTTGAGTTTTAAATTCTATTTAAATAATTCACATATCTAATTATTCTAAAGATTAGCATTAAGAATTATATTCAAATATTAACATTTCAAATAAGGATTATTGTGCTATAAATTGTATCATGGAGATTGAATTTACTTTAAATTTGTTTTTACCCAAAAATAAGAGTGAAAATGATCATGAGAAAAGTAACCTTAGCAACAAAAGAAAAAAAAAAGTTGGCATGCTTTGCCAAGACTCGTTATAACACATCTTGGGAGCTAATCACTTAAAGAGTTGGCAAAGGAATTCACTTTTTTTGTGGCACTATCGATCTCTTTCTAAGAATAAACGAGTCAATGCCACTTAAAGATAAAGTTTGCTTAGTCAATGAAAGGTCATCTCAACAATCACCATTTCAAATACCCTTCCTCTCACGTCTCCCTCAACACGAGCTACATCATATTAATGAAAGGGAAATATAAATCTAAGGCTTCCAATTCTTTAAGCAATTGGTTAAAGGCCAAGCAATTGCAGACCAACTTTAAGTTGCGTTTGATTCTTGAACTACCCGCATCTTAATTAGACTTCAATCCGCAATCAAAGATAGATTGAAGTACGCGTGTTTACTTTTAAAACCTTTATTATTAATTTAATTAATCTTAATTCTTATACCTTAATTTTATTTAGTGGTGGCGACATGAACATAGTGGATCAGACTTGAGTTGAATTATCGTCTTTAGTTTTGAATCATTTTCAATTTGAATTATCTTTTATTTAGGTCATTTTATGTTCGATACTCAAGTTATTAGTGTTCAAATCATTGGATTTGATTCAATTCAAAATCAAATTGTTAAGTTTTTAAATCAAATTAATTTAATTTTAAGTTAATTTTTCAAGCCATTCAAATCTTAATCATTTTAAATTTTAAATGATTCCGGTTTAATTTGAATTAAAAATATTTAGATTGTTAATTTCTTTTAATTAAATAAAATTGAATTTAGTTTAGATTTGAGATGTTATATAGATTTTTTTCATTTTTAGATTTGAGTCACTTTATCTAATTTTTTTATTTTGCGTAAGTAATTATTTAATTAAATTATAATTTATTAATTAATTATTCAATTGATTGTATAAATATAATATTTAATTATTAGCGTAATTCAGACAAATCTTAATGTAAGCTTGAAAGATAAAAGGTGGAATGAAACGTTCGATGGCTTACACACAAAAGAAGAAACAAAAAAGAAAGGTGGTTTTGTTTTGTTTAGCGGTAACAAATTTTAGTAATTTAATCCATTTTTAGCAGCATGTCAACGGCTATTGAAAAATAGAAAATAAAAAAGGAGAAGGGGGCTGGTAAAAGTGATAGCATACCCCGCCACTTGCGCTTGTTCCATTGAAAACGGTGCCAGTGCCACTAAGAAGATTGCGCTAAAATTTTTAAATTCTATTTCCTTGATTGAAATTTTGGAGCAGCAAATGACAGTTTGACAGGTGTCCCACAAGTGATTATAACTTGAGTTTGACGCCAGCAGACCACGTCCTGGGTGTGTGGTCCACACGCGTGGCCCCCTCAAGCGTGCAGACTCCCCTTCGCTTTATAACGTGCTCCTTGCTAGCCACCCCCAGCCCAGCCCAACTGAGCTGTGCCAATATTTTTTTCCCCCAAGTTTATCCGAATCATTTTTCTACCTTAAAAATATCATGTGGCTTTCCTCACGCGATTCCGAACGAGAGCATTTCACGCGCAGTGAGCAAATTGGGGGTGGCGGAAATGGCATAAAAATGTTGAATTTGCATCAAAAAGCTTTTACTTTGACTTTCATTGAAATTTATTTTCACCACACTTTTTTCTTTCTAATTATAGAATTTAACTTTTATAAACTTCAATTTGCTTAATGTCGTATAAAGAGCAAACATTAATATATTAATAAAGGCGAAAAAAATCCAAATATATTAGTAAAGGTGAAAAAAATCCACCTTTTTGTATGCTGTTGCATGGAATTAAACCATGTTGGACAAATTCTTCAAAAAAAAAAAAGGACAAATACCATTCATAATAAAATAATAAAATTTAAAAAACATTTTTATATATTTTTCACAAATTGTTCAATACAAATAATATTAAGGATTTCAAATTGTTGACTATGCAAAATATTGCAAGGAACTCAAAGAAAATGGTCCAGAAAAGCTTTTCTAATTTTTGGTTAAATCAAAAAATTCTCTTTGATTTGTAGGACTTAAAAGCCCATTAATTTAGTATGAATGCAAAACAACTTGTTTTGAGTTCAAGCTTAATCCAATTAATTTTAAAAAAATTATATTTAAAAATTTAAAATTTGAATATTATCACTTAAAAAAACATTTTTTATAAAAAAAATTTATAATTTAATTTCAATATTTACATGACTTTATAAAAAGTTTAATTTATTTATTAAGAATACAGCAAACTCAAAGTCTGCATATATCTAACCTCAAATCAATCATTTTTTTTTTTCACAATATATAATCTCAAAATCAATCATTTTTTCTCGTTAATTAAGCAAAATATGTTTGAACTACTAATCAAGCTTTTTGTCCCCGGCAGTACAATCCCCCTAACTCTGTTGCTTGGCTTTGAGGTAAAAAAAAGAATCTATTAAAAAAAAATGGAAAAAAAAGGGTCCACTGAGGTGGTGAGGTGTATGTGAATGAGAAGAGGAGCATGTTTAAGTTGGGGAAAAGGGACCACTAAAATAGTACGCGTGTCGCCATCTCTCGGCGTCGTATCAGAGTTGGGCGCCAACAGAGATTAAAAAAAAAAAAAAAAACAGACATTCTCTCAATCTTTTTTTTCTTTTTTGGCCTATTGGGAAGCGTGACTTTGTGTTTCGTCAACGTAACGGACTTTTTTCGCAAACTCCCTAGTCCCTACCCTACCCTTCCCCTTTTTTCCCCTACACCGTGACACCACCACCACCACCACCACCCACCCATGTCTTCCTCCCCTCCCCTGCCCTCTCAAACGCTCAAGTGCCCTCCAACTCTTCAAAATTTTGTTCTAAAACAATGAAATTAATTAATTAATTAATTAATTAAACATTACCCGACAAAGGAGAATTGAAAAATTAATGTTATAAATCATTATTAAAAAAAAAGAAAGTTGAGAATTGAGATAGCAATGCCAATATATGCGAGGTGAATATAAAAAAGGGTGTTTAAGGAAATTGGCATCATGTGTGTCAAACGACAAAGGAGATTGCACCAAAATTTACGCATAGTTTTTAATCTATCTTTCCATATTCTACTACAACAGTGATGTGGTTGGTAATAGCTTTAAACTTTGTGAAGAAGCAAAGGTGAGGCACGCCAAGCACTAGTGCATGGGGTGGGAGTGTGAAAAGTGGACCGAAGATGGCCTGAAAGTGGGCCGACAACCAAATGGAGGGACCCGCTCAACGGCGGGGAAATAGAGGACTTGGCCCACTCTTGGCCCGTCTGCTCCATCATGATTTTCTACTGCCAATTACCTTTTTCCAGAAAAAATTGATTTTTTACTATATTATTTTATCATTAAAAAGGAGAATATTCGGCAGCGGCACTTTATGACATGCAATTCTCGTTATTTATTTGTAAGTTTTGCAGCTGGTAGGGCCAATCTGTCAGTGATTAGTGAAGTTGATTAACGAGCTAATGCGATGATCAGTAAGTACTTAAGTACTATCACTCTCACCTCTCCTTTTTTTTTTTATGTCATAATAATAAAAAGAAATGAGTAATATGGGCCCTAAAGCCCATATTACTCAAAGGGGATAGCCCATGAAACTATTTAGTCTACTCGGCTTACAAGGCACGATCCAAGCACAAGACGTTGAACATGGATGAAGAATTATTACAAATCTTTGATGCTTTGTAGTGGCTAACGTAAAAAATTGGAGTTCAAATTTCTCAAGGGTTACATCGGAAACATATTCAGCATAATTTCGGACCTAGTTAAATCAGTAATATATTCAGCAAGAAGCACGTTTCAAAGGCTTATTATATATTCCAACAACAGAAACATGTTTTCACATTCCACTCTGATGTTTACACTTAATAGTGTCAATAACAAAAATCCACCAATCAATTATACGAGACAAAAAGTGAACTAACAGGAATGCGGACCTCCAATTCCATAGTGTGGCTGCAATTGTTTCTAGTGCTCTTTAGCTGTATCGCGTACATCCAGTCCAGGTGGAAATCATAAATTCATGTCTAACCCGGGTATAGCCTACATGAACATGAATCAGCTATTTTCCATTTACATATTCAAGAAGATGCCGATCAAGCTCAAAATGACGACAAAGAAGTCTCTGCAGCACAAACAATCCAAAAAGGAATGATACGGTCCAAATCAATGTTAACTTGAATAAGAAACATAGATGCAGAATAAGCTGTCTACTGAAGCCGTAAGATGAATTTGCATATTTAACTAGTTATTCACAAGATTCAACAATAACATAAAAAAATCTAACCAATATTTTGGAATCTTGTACCTAAGTACAGATAATAAAAATGTTACCTTAGTTATGGGAGGAGTGGGTTTAGCTTCAAAATTAAACTCGGGAAAGCGGGTGACCTCTGTAGCATTTTCAAATAATATATATGTAGGAAGTTGTCCCATGCTCCCTGTGAGTAAAAGAATTCAAAGATAAATAAAACTTTATCTAAAACTTGTTGAGTACCATTCGTAATTAATATATGTAACTCACCACCAGGAGATATTCCAAATTTTTCTGCAGCATTGGGGAAAAGTCCAATATCAACCATTCCAAATGATAGATTTTGTTTGCGTATCTGCCCAAGAGAAACATTGAATACTAGTAATAACTTATTACACAATAAACAAGTAAAATGGATAATTTAGGAAACAAACATACGTGATTGACAGCTCAGGAAAGCACCGACTTGCACGTCTGCAACCAGATGAAAAAGAAGCACGGAATTCTACCTGCCGAAAGCATGGATGTCATCCACCAAAAAATGAAGTTTCATGTTCATTAAATGATAATAACATTGAAAATTAGTAACTTAATATCTACTTTTGGACCATCAAAAGAACAAGTCTAAAAACTGACTTCTTTAAGCAGAAATTCCCTTTACGAAGTAACTTTTTTAAGCATAAAAGATCAATACCAGTGCTTTCACTGTCTTCATATATAATACCAACATTTCCCTTATGCTGTTCAAGAATTGTCACTACTTGAATGAGTAAAGACATCATGTGGCTTTGATGCATTTATATGCTGGCTTGCGGCCAGTGAAGAAACAATCACAAATGCTAATAAACAACTATTATGAAAGTCACAAGAAAATGCAATTTTTTCAACGAGACCCCAATATTCTATACGATTTAGAACATTAAGCATCTAAAGAAAAATCCGAACGAACCAGCCAAAATCTTGATGTGTTCCCTTCAGTTAGCAAGGCTTCCAATTGCAATGGTGTTAATTTACTTGAAGTACCTAGAAAATTCAATTTAGAAACAAGAGAAAAAAACATTTCTATCAAAACAGCATGCTAGTCATTCTTCTAATTACAACGAAAGCCAAACCGAAATATACCTAGTTCTTGGTAAGCAGGTTGCTGCGTTAAAACATATATCACTGTAAGAAAAGAAAAAACAATGTCAACATAAAGCTGCATTTATGAAAGCTCTACTAACATTGTTGGCAGAAATCATAGTAGTATTAAAATAACCATAGCAAGATAATCAACAATAATACCTGAAAATAGCACTATGTACCACAAAGTCAAGTGGTAGTCCATGATTAATGTAAGGGCAACAAGAAAAATCTGGAAAAAGAAAAAGACAAAGGAAAATTTTAGTTGCAAACTATTATTATCCAAATCCAATAAAACGAAAGGAATAGGCAAATAAATGGGTAAGCTAACCTTTCCAAAAAACAATGTGTCAGCAATAAAAGCCTCCCATGTTTCTTCTCTTACCATCTGTTTGCAAACCAGGGAAAAATAAAGAGTCCATCACACTTTAAAAAAGAAAGCTTTTACTAAGTTCCTCAAATTACCTTGTATGCAATCAGCATCGAAAATGCCAAAATCGCTTGAATTTCCTATACCCAAAATTTTAAAAGAAAATGGTGATGTGTTAAGGTTAAAAGCAAGAAAAAGGGTGAAGAGTAGAGGGACAATGAGAAATTACCCGGTAAAAGAGAATATGAGTGATGTGAGGGGAGAGGACATGAGAAGCAGAGCTGCGAACAATGAAATAAGAGAAGAAAGCTAGGGAATGGGAGAGATAGTACGGCTCTCCGACCATTTGATTCAACCACTCCATTGGGTTACTTTGTTTCTTCTCCATTTTTTTTCCCTTCTTCTCTGTTTGTTAGGGTGGATCTGATTCAGGATTTCAGTGGTTGATTACAGATTCCACCAATTTTGTTTCCATCACCGTTGAATGAAGGGATTGTTCTTCTCCATCGCTTTGTGCCAATTCCGCAAAGCGGCAAGTCTCGGAGTTGGACCATTTTAGCTTCCATGGGCCCAATTTCAAAGATTGGTCTCAATCACTAGGCTAATATTTTGCAAACAGAAAGGCCAGAGGCCTGTTCTGTTCCCAATCCCGCGATCTGTGGCCTTTTTAAAAAGATAGTCCTATTAGGAGCACTGCAACAACGTTGGGGCTCTTGGGTCTAAAGTAATAAAATTGATTGATAAGATCAAGTTTGGTTTTCTAAACTAATACTTGCTAATTGTTGTCATATAAACTAAACTGATGTTTCATAACAATATTTTTATTATATGACAAACTAATCGAAGCAAGGCAAGTGCCGAACTTTTTGTAACGATATCTTGTTTCTTGTTTAAGCTATAACTAAATAACACAACATTGCCTTAATAGGATAAGTAGAGAGTTTGTGGAGGATTAATTTAAAATCTTCTCATCTTCGCATGCAGTTGGTGTATCATTGAACATCTTAAATTCATAATGTTATATAAGTATATGTTAAGCAAGAATTACATCCTACTAGGTTCAGTTTTTCTTTTCTTTTTTTTTTTTAATAAAAAAATATTAATCTGGAGATAAACAAAATGATTGTGAATATTATAATTTGAATATTAAATCAACCGAATATCATATTTTAAAAATAGTTACATAATTAAGTTAAATTTTTTATTTTAATTTTCCTTTTTTAGGTAATTATGTTATTTAAAAAAGAGATAAATTGTTATAAGAAGTACGGATTAGTTGTAGTATTCTAAATCGAATTATTAGTTGTAATAATGGTAACTCTTTATATTGATAATTAAACTTAGTTTTTTTTTTTTTTTACATAAGAGATTGCAATGAAAAGTATTTCAAATATTGAAATTCAAAATTCAAATCAAATATCACTTCTTAAAAGTAATTATATAAATTAATTAAATTAAATCATATTTAATAACTTTTTTCTCTCTATATAAATTTATATTATATGAGATTCAACCCCTCGCTCTTCCGAATATTGAACCAAATAGATAGACCATCTATTTCTCATTTGTATGGATCATAGAAGTTAGTAGAAACTGGAGAAAACAAAGGGAAATAATGTGAACAAGTGCCGCATCATATCAGTGTGTTGGCTCCAAGGGGGAAAAACCCTATTAAATTCCCAAAATGACCAAGAATATGCCATTCCCTCCATCTGCAAGCACTAAACTTAATCACGAAGGACAAGGGTTGCTGGATTGGCATAGCGGTAACATGCTTTCTCTTTTTCTCTCTGGCCTTTGCCAAAAGTTAAATCAAAGCAAATGGGCTTGTGATTGAAGCCTGTCGTGGTGAACCAGGGCCTTTTTGTTTATACCATTTGATAAACTCTTGGGTCCACAGTGTGGGTGCAAGTGCGACCAAAGCCCCTTTCTTTCTTGTGTTTCCTCGTGCACTTCTGATCCACCATGTGCTCCCCAGCCATTTCCTAGCATTTAGAGATGCGTTAAAAAGGGAAACTCAGATAAAAACTTGATTTTGTAAACAAGTTCCCCTTCTCAACAATTCAGGCCACTGCTACTTTCATAGCTGAAAGTTATCGCCTCCAAAAATAGCTTCGACATCTTGAAATTGCAATGCTCAGTAGCAATTGGACTAGAGGAATTGTAAAATTCGATCTTTGATAATTTATGGGATGACAACAAAAGAAAGAGAACCATGAACTTTGATAATTTTCTTACATTTTTTTTCCAAGACAAGTAGTACATAACCAATAAAAATGCTAATCCAAATGAACTAGCAAGCATGTTCATTGAACAAGGAGTAATTGACCAATTTGACCATATACATAAAGTAGTAAGAGACTTGAAGTTATGAGTATAAGGGGACGTTTACGTGATTCAAGTAAATGGGCCTAAAGACAAAGCAACCATTCCGAAAGCAAAAGGAGAACGTTCCGTCCCACGTGAGTTGTCCCCCGGGCCGGAGGATGCTAGGCACGTGCGTCGTCAACAACACTCAGATGACACGTGCTCTCACGTTGTCGTGAAACTATAAAAGGACCCCCCATATACGCTCTTGGTCGAAGCATCCCAGAAAAGGCAGATAGACCATCGATCTTCGCCACGTGGTATAGACCACCGTCAGTTATGGCTTTTGACACGAGCCAAAGCACTCACATGGGTCGCTGACACCACCAACCCCCCGCCTCTATCACGTGCAAGTTGGACCCCACACATGCAAAACCCAAATTTTACAATTAAAAAATAAAATACTATACTAATATATAAAAATAACAAGTAATAAATAAAAATTGAAAGTCAGTGAAAAAAAGAAATAAAGTCTGGTAAATGGAGACCTCCACGCCAAGCAATGCCCTCTGTATCTTCTCTTTTTCAGGCTTTTCTTTTAATTCAAGCAAAAAAGTAAGGAAAAAAAGGTGGTAATAAAATAAAAAATAAATAAACTAGAAAATTCTTCCTAGTACTACTAAATTACTACAATAAAAGTAATAATAAAGAAAGGAAATATCTTTACAGCAATAAATAAGAACCGTAACACCTTATCCGCTCGTCGAAGTAGACTCGCGTTGGATTGCTGTGATAAGTCTCTCCACTTCTGGATACTTGCCACGTGGTCTCTCCACCAACGTTCAAACAGTTTGTTTGTCATCGTTGGTTGCATCATGCAGCCGCATTTCAGAGAGGAAAACAAAACAAAAATGAAATCTATAAACTATTAGTATGGTTTTTGTTATAATAAATTATCAAAAATATTAATTTATAATTTTAAAATTTTATAAATAATTAAGATAGTGAAATATATATTTAAAAATATAAACATTTAATCAAAATAAAATAAAATATGTATTAATTTTTTAATATCGATTATAAAATTAAAATTTTATATTGATAACTAATTTTTTATTTGTTAAAAAAGTTACAATTATGATAAATGGTAAAAAACAAATTGTTTCATTCTTACAATTGATGGTAAGTTAGTTATAATTATATTTTTATAAAGATTATCTTATTTGATACTATATATTTTTACTAAATTAAATTATTTAATGAAAATACAATCAATTTTAGCATTAACTATAGCCAAAGAACTTATAGAATAAAATTTTAAGTGAATGTATTTTCTTGTTAAATATGAGAATCATCCTCCCCACTAATTAATCCAATTAATAAGAAGGAAGAATTTTTTTTTGGTCAATAATATTCATAAGCGAAAAATTTTAGATACATTAAATTAATATAAGGAATAAAATAATGTGCTCTTGAGATTAAGTAATGGAAGAATTATATTAAGTAATGGAAGAATTATATCCACGCAAATTACGACAACACTTTCAGTCACATTGATATATATATATAAATAAAGAGAACATCGTTTAAAGTTAATTGTTTGTATTAAAACAATCCAATTTTAGTTAATTTAAACATATATTTAGGTATTGTTTCTTATTAATTTCTTTTCAATCAAACTCTATAGCGAGATTAGTATAACCTTTTGGCATTGATAATCGAACCCATTTTGTAATTTGGACAAATGTAATTTTAAATATTATTTTGTATGTTGGTCATATTCTTTGAAATTGTAAGTCTCATAAATCTTAAATGTGTAATATTTTTTAAAATAAATTAAGTAAAAATTAAAAGATAAGATTAAATTAAGAATTAAAAAAAAAAAGCATTGGACAAGATCAAAGCTACGAATGTTATTTAATTTTTCTGATTGTTCATAGTGTTGTAATGGACATTAGGCCCTAATAAAAATGCAGAAAATAGGTTTAACGACGTAACTCAACCACTTGTTTTTCACATTAGATAGACTCGCTCATAGTCCAAAGTGGCGGTATGAGGTGCAAAGTGAACAAGAGAATTGGCAGTGTCAGGTCTTTCTGAGCGGGTGGGGACAAAGTGAAATCCTGAGCCTCCAACTCATCAAAGTTTAGCTGTAATAATCGTGCTTATTAGTGGTGTTTGAATATAATACACGAATTAGCAGGGAAATAAATATTAAAAAAACAAATATCAGAGAGTAAATAAAAAAAGAAATGTACTAAAAAAATTCAATAAGCGCGACTACCGAGGGAAAGCAAAGCAGAGGAATCGGGCTGTAAGAACGGACGCTAATGCATAAGCCTCAGCGACAAACCTGCTAGATCGGTTCCTAAGGGATTGAATTTGAACACAATATAAAATTTATCTTCTTCATTAATTTGTTAATTACCTTTTTACCCAATTATATTCAGTAAATAATTGTTAATTAAATATGACAATAATTTTTGTTTAAATTACCGCTATTGCCCATTGTCACTGATACTGGAATTGTAAGCAATGGAGTAATGATTGTGTGCGGTACGTGGTGTTGATAATTATTGTACACTTGGGTTATCATCACCATCATCATGTGCACTGCGGTTTGATTTTTATCAACTAAACAAAAATGCGGGGCCCTCTTAAAGGTGGCCCCCAGATTTGAACATTGTGAACTGTTTTGATCAATTCACATGGGGTTTCTAAATGGATTATTTACATATTTTCTTTCTCAATATAATTAAATATTACCTATATCACCCTTCTAACGTCACACTATGTTAAAAATATTTAAGAATATCCAGTTTATGGGTTTTTTTCTTTTTAATTTTGATTACCAAATATTTAAGTGTAAATTCAAAATTCTCTACTTAAAACCCGTTTACTGCACAGTTACAAGTGTAACCCCACACTTGGAGGTTTTGAGCCCAATTTGACAAAGTGTTTTGATATTTACAACATTATTTATTATATTAGTATAAAAAGAAAAAAATGTAAGCTAATTAATCCCTTTAATTTGGTTTTAATGCAACTTAAATATGGAATTAAAGAAAATACTTAACTACTAAACTTTAAATGCGCTTGGTTTGGTTAATATAATTTCCTGCCAAACTTTGACTTTGCCATCAACCCCATCCGTGTTTCGACTCCTTACTGTTTAAACATTTATTTCAACTTTTTTTTTTTTTTAAATACAAGATAAAAGAGGACCCAATGAGAGAAAGGGCAGTAAAGTAACTTCACACTGGATTTTCTTTTAACACAAATAAAGAAATCTTTTTATTATAACATTTCTAAAATCCTCCATTTTAGCTGTCCGCTTGTCCCCTTCAAATGCAAATAAATCCTCTCTCTCTTCAAAACCACAGCTCCTCACACTTCTCTCTTTCTCTATTTTCTCTGCACTCACACATTTTCCTCACTATACTCTCCATATTCCACCCCTCCTTACTCTCCCTTTAACGCCAACTTCGAATCCACAAAAAAAAAAAAAGGAGAAACGGAGAAAACTAAAAGAATTATGGAGGCGCCAGAATTCTATCAAGCAAGCAGCTACTGTTCTCAATTTGCTCCCGAAAAACCAGCGGCCGGTGACCATTTCATTGTGGAGGACTTGTTCGATTTTTCCAACGAGGATGCCGTTATAACTGATGGCACATTTGACTCTTCCGTTGCTGGCCATTCCACCAATTCCTCCACCGTTACGGCAGTCGAAAGCTGCAATTCGTCGTCGTTTTCTGGTTGCGAACCGAATTTAGCGGGTGATATTGGTTGCCGAGGTTTTACAGATGGTCAGTTCGCTGGTGACCTTTGTGTGCCGGTAATTTTCTCCTATACATGAAATAATGTGATAGGTTAAAAAAATTTTAACAGAAAAAATGAAGTGTTGAATTTCTCCTCATTATTTTTACTGTTTCTGCGAGGCAATAAAATAAAATTAACTATTACAAAATTTTTTTTTCAAAATTTAGCTTTGTTTCAAATTTCGAAAAGAAAAGCAAGTAAATAATTTTTTACGTATTTTTTTAATAAATTCCCGGCAACCAAACAAAGCATGAAGACCCATGTGCATGGCAAATGCAATTTTTGTCAAAGCTGGGTGCGACAATAGTTTCTTTATCAAAGTTCTTCAAATTTGAAAAAAAAATGCTAATTATAATATTATTATTTCTATCTCTTTTATACAGTACGACGATTTAGCTGAGCTCGAATGGCTGTCGAATTTCGTGGAGGAATCATTTTCAAGTGATGACATGCAGAAGCTCCAGCTGATATCCGGAATGAAAACCCGACCTGACGAATCATCAGAGACCCGGGGGTTCCAACCCGTTCTTCCCAATCAAATCAATAACGCCATTGATAACGGTGACGACAACCATGGTAACAATAACAACAACCCAATTTTCCATCCGGACATGTCGGTGCCTGCCAAGGCCAGAAGCAAACGGTCTCGGGCTGCGCCATGCAATTGGGCCTCTCGTCTCCTTGTTCTCAGCCCAACAACTTCATCTTCCGAACCCGAAATTGTGATCCCCGTTCAACTACCTCCCCCGAACAACGCTGGCAAAAAGCCCGTCAAAACGACGTCATTGAAGAAAAAGGACGGTGGCGTCGCAAATTCAGATGGGAGAAAGTGCCTGCATTGTGCTACAGATAAGACGCCGCAATGGAGAACTGGGCCCATGGGCCCAAAAACATTATGCAATGCTTGTGGAGTGAGGTATAAATCGGGGCGGCTTGTGCCCGAATACCGACCCGCTGCGAGCCCGACATTTGTGCTGACTAAGCATTCAAATTCTCACCGTAAGGTGCTTGAGCTTAGGCGACAGAAGGAGTTGTTAAGGGCCCAACAGCAACATCAGCAACAATTCATGCAGCATCATCATCAGAACATGGTTTTTGATTTATCCAACGGTGATGATTATTTGATCCACCAACACGTCGGCCCTAATTTCAGGCAGCTGATCTAGTGGGTGCTAGAGTAGGGAACTTGATCCCAGAGTTAATTTAGTTACTGAATTCATTAGTGAATTCCATTTTTTTTTTCTCTTATATGCTTAGGAAGTAATTTTTCTAACTTTTCTTTTGGAAATTTCGTAGACTATTTAATGCTCCCTTGAGTTGGTTTTTTCCCTGCCAAAGTTGGCTAACTCTTGAAACCCAATTTAATTTCTTAATTCAAGTAAAGCAGTAAAATTTTGTTTTTTTTTATTTTTTTATAAAGGAAATTGGATAAAATTTAGATAAAGTTTTTAGGTGAAATTTATGATTTAAAAAATAATTTAATAAAAATTTAAATAAAAAATTTAAGTCAATAGTTTGATGTAATTCAATATTAAAATTAATAATATATAAAAAATTATTTATAATTCAAATTTAATCTATATTTTTTAATAATTATAATTTTATAACTGCTTAAAGATAAAAAAATAAAATTGCATGTATTAAAATTTAAAATTTAAAATCTATTTAATGTTATTTTTTAAAATTAATTATATGAATTCATTTTGATTCATGCTTTGACTTTCTCCATTATAACATGACTTTCAAAGCCAACGGCGGACCGTAAGCATAACATGAAGGCGCCTTGGCCCCCCAAACATTTTGAACACCCTATACTATATATATTACAATTATTTCATTTAAATTAAATTAAGTTGGCTCACATTAAAATTATTATTTGTTAATTTAATTTTATGCATTATAATTTTTTAAAAAATAATACCATATTACAATTTGTTTATTTATTGTACTAATTATTCACAAACCTTTAAAAATAATAGACTTGTTACAAATATTAAATCACATTTACATATACTTAAAAAATTATATTAACTTTCTAGTCTCTTTAAAGATTTCAAATATTCAATCAAGTACGAAAAGTACATTATTTTTTTCTTTTAGCCAAATACTTATCTTCTTTTATAATTGTTTTCAATTTTTTTTATCAGATAAATTTTGAAATGTACTATTTTAAATTTTCAGATTTTTCATTTTTCTTGAAGTATCTGTATTCAATATATATGCAAAAAAAAAAAAAAAGTGAGTATAAAAATTTAATAGTTTAAATATAGCAAAATAAAATTAAAAAAAATAGATATATTTGTGTTAAATACATACTCAAATCTAATATTTACTTCAAATTTAAATAACATAACAAATAAAAATATATATAATTTGGTCCCTCAAAAATCAAACGTCAAAATCTGTCACTGTTCTAAGCTCCAATATATATTTTACAAGAAACACTTATGTACCCGAATATTGATCAATTGCTATTTGAACCACTTAAATTAAGTTTGATTCTCCAACTATTATTGAAACACCTATTCCTTTCTTAATGCTTTAATACTTGATAGGCCTAGTTAGAAAATTGTGTAGAATAAGTTGGCATGTGATTGATGTATTATTTCATTAATACATAGTCACACCTCATTTCTAAAATAAAAAACTCAAGTGTAAATCTGGTTCGAATCATTTCAATAAATATATTTTATTGGGAAATATGTCACCCACATATTTGATAAAGAATTTGATAAATATAGTGGTTGTAAAGTGTCACTTCTTCCGTGAAAGCAGAAGCAAAGAGGAAAGACATTTTATCAAGAAATCATGTCATGCTTTTAATTTCAGCCATCCAAGTGTGTTTTTGATTGCCAAAGTTTGCAACATCTTAGCATATAAACACCGTTTCTAAACGCACGTCTTTGTCACTTTACCAATCCCATAATGGTTAAGGATTTAAGGCCACCCCTTTCATCAGCAGAAGATTTAAGGCCACCCCTTCCATCAGCAGAAGATTTAAGTTTACAGAAATATATAGAAAGTCAAGATTCATCATCTACCTTTATTTTTTTTGTATGAATTTCCACAATTCACATGGAGTTTTTGTTTTTCCGGTCCAATTACCTGAAAACAAAGATATATATATATATATGTATTTATATTTATATATATTTCAAGGTCCACTCCTCCTACCGACAGAAGGTTAAATGCAAAGGACTAGTCGCATAGGGGAAGGAAATATCTAGCGAGGGTGTGAAAAGGTCAAAACATAGAAGAAAATGAACCCTAAATTAAGGCCTAAGTTGATGTTTTTAAGATAAATGTGCACAAACTCAGATGCACGAACTTTCTAGTGGTTGTATTTTAAATGTAAGGGATGGATGACTATGAAACTATCAACATAAATTTCAGTGAAAAGAAAAGCTGGTGTTGCTTTTACATGCAGAGAATGTTATTATCTGATTCCTTAACATTGTTTTCTGCCTTGTACTTTAATCCTCGGTGGCGATCTTGCCTTTTTCTTTACACAAGTTTCCCCACCTTGGAGAACTTCGAGATTGAAATGAGAAAAAAAAAAAAAAACAGATTTCTGATAATTACATGAACGTGGAAATATATCATTCCAAGTGTTGATAGATGAACGTAGTATATATTAAAAAAGAGACATTTGGGTTTTTCAAACCAGTTAGTGCGAAGACGTGCTTCAGTTTTTTTTCTTTTTTAAGAATTATTCTATATGAATTAGAAAATGTATAGTAATGTTTATTCTGTTTAAAACAAGCATGTGAATAAGGATTGCGATCTTAGATTTTATTGGGAAAAATATGCGATACTGTTAAAAAGATCAGTCATCAGCCATATATTCTTTTATGGGTATTGACTAAAAATTAACGGTTTTATTCGTTGACGATGCTCCTCTCCTGTCTATGCACGATCCTAGGCAATGCTAATCCCATAGGCCTCTATTTTTAATGCATGGAAAACCTTCTCACTTCAATCATTGTTAATAAACTATTCTCAAGTGTTTAACCATTTCTTCTTCAAACCAATGGTCTATTTGCCTTCTTTTCTTCCTTTGTCTCATTTGTTAAAACAAACGAAATAATACAGAGAGTTCTGGTAATAGATCTGTTGTTAATATGTTTTACAGGCATACTTATATGTTTGTCTGATTACTTTAGTGTGAAAAGAAGCAATGTTTGCGGTGGTCACATGCCTCTCTAGTCTCTTCCATCCCGCATGCAAAGAGTCAGTACTGATCAGTTGATCGATTTTTATGAATTTTTGCGATTGCAAAGTCAATAAACATGTACTCGTTGGAGTTCAATTTTTTGTTCACCTTTGAAACAGTTTTTTTTTTTTTTTTCAAAATTCAGTAACTTGTTCCACATAAAGATATTCATGAATCATGGCAAGTTCTAATCAAACTCAGATCGATATTTTCAGTGTCTTGCTTAATACTTGACTTATGATTGGTCTACTTCAATGTTAGGTTGTAGATATTTTGGGAATAAGAGTTGAACGCCCCTATCTGAGAAAAGGGTACCAAATTCAATTTATTAATAATCACTAGAAATATTCAGATATGGGAATAAATAATAGTGGTATGTGATATCATAATGGCTTTATTCCAGAAGATTTTAAATACATTGGCTTCCATGCATAGTGGTTATTTTTCCATGTTCATTTGTAAAGAAGCTGTCCCCTTTTCACAACCATTTCTGCTGTCAATGACTTGGCAATTGGCAACTCTCCCTTCTTTAACATATTAAACTTTTCTCTGTTGCCCTAACATGGAAACCAATGACTCTACCATTGAAGTTACATCATTGCACCTTTTAGTAAATATAAAAGAAATAAAAATCAAGTCTGATAAAGTTTATGGTAATAGTTTCATTTTATATGATCGAGTTTGTCTCATTTTAATTATTTTATGATAATACTCCTTGTCCTAAATTAAACGATTTCTTGTCTTAAAAGCTTACTCCAAGGGGGCGAACATGATCAGGGAAATGCTTGGAGCAAGGATTTCAGGAGCTAAAGGTGAGGATTTCTTTACCAAAAGAATTCAGCTGGCTTCCATTTCTTGTCGATTATTTGGAGCCAGGCAGGAAAGAAAAAAGGATAACAACAGAGGGGACGGTTCGACCATGCAAATTGCAAACATTATCCTATTTCTTTCCTGTGATGGCTATTGTACTGGGTTTGAACATGCATGGAAGCACATGGTTGTTTTTACGAACACGTCTAAATGAGGAAACTCAAAAGAAAAGTACAATGCCAAGGCTCATGAGAGATTGAAAGGGAGAGCCCACATGCATGCAAATGCTTTGTTAGGAGTGGAGACATAGGCGCCATAGCCAAGGCAAACTTTCAAAGAAGTGGGAGACATGGGAACACCATCTCATCCCTCTCTACTTTCTCACGTGCACTTCTCATTGAATAGGTAGATAATACAGTAATTAAATGAACATGACTTCCTTTAGAACCTAAGTTTCTTCTAAGTCTTACCTACATATAAAAAGTGATAAAGGATTTAAATCCAAATCCTACTTATGAATGCAAAAGACTTATCCTTCCAGGTGGGATCAAAGTATATCCTATCAAAAAGGGAGACATCAAAGATATAATGGACATAAGCTATTTACAGATAATGATGCTAAGGATTGAAAATGGATTTGAAGGCAACCAGGAAGCTTTTACTGGTAGAATAGGATGATAATAGAAAATTAAATCATGCATCCATTCAATGCTTTCATTTTTCATTACTACAATATGAAGTTATTTAAACAAAAAGACATGGTTAAGTAATTGGAATAAAAAATTCATTACACCCACCATAACTTTAAGACATGACAGAAGTGAAGTAAACGGCAAAGAAATTTTATCATTTGAAGTAACAAAGCCAAAGTGTTGCGCAACATATAATCTGTAAGAGAATCCTAAGAGGAAGATTGAAATCTAAAGAGAAAGTTTCCAGAATTGGGTATCAGGGAATAGATTTCTTGCAGTGTAATACGTCCATCATCCAGGACTTTAAAATTTTACTTCAACTAATAGTGAAAAGGACATACTTATCAAATAGAATAAATCTCCAAGTGAACATTACAAGAAGGATAGCAATAACTCTGACCCATCATGCAGTACTTCCTTCCACTTTTGATACGTTATCGAGGTACACTGAGACCTAGTTCTGTACAAAATTAAAAAAATCCCAACAAATTAGCATTTACGAGCACTATAGGAAAGAAACTAAAAGAACAGGTTTCTTTAAGTCAATGAATCATGAATAAAGGTCCTTCACATATAACAATCAAAGGGGTCCAGAACAAGCCAATATTTACTAAAAATATTTCAAAGCATGGTGACTCTCAAGAGGTAAGCAACTGCTACAAGATAACGCAGGATGAGCAATTATAAAATCAGACTTGTGATACATAAAACTAGACCTGGTTGGCTGCAGCACTTATATAGTACTTGAACAAAAGTTATTGGAACTTCTACAATTGATAAAAGATAACTTACAAGAACAACCTTACAATGAACTAATAGCACTGGCAACAAGACTTGAGTATTGGCACCTTCAATTTATTAATTTTTTCTTAATTCCATAAGGAATTGAATATTTGGCACACACAGTCAATGCTAGCTCAGATTTCAATCTGATATTTCAATAAAAGAAAAAACACAATCTTTGGACTTCATGAAAATGCAGACCAGTAAACTGCAGAAACAAAATAAGTTTGAACAATTCTTATGGCCCTATATTCCCGATAAAAGAATCTTTTACATGGATCTCCCGCAAGTAAAATTTTAAAGGTCAAATTCTTCTCCTTAACCAAATAGGGCTTCTTGATCCATTGATATAGTCCAAGCCAAGTACTTGGCCTGGCACATACAAGACTGTATCTCACAAATTATAAGGTACATTTAATTATTCATTTCAATAGGAGAACCTACAAAAGTTTTGCCTCCACAGCTCCATTAATATCAATTGACAATTAGGATAGAAAAGGGTCTTCAGTTGTAAAACATTCTTCATTGATAAGGAAGAACCACACAAGCTTAAAATCAATTTGAAAAGAAAAGAAAAACAAAAGAGAGAGCTATGGACTTATTATGTATTTGATATGCGTATCATATAGGAAGTCTACTAGGGTACAGTATATGCAGAAAGTAACTGGTCAACATCGCTAGAGTTACATTTTCTATCATATTAGAATAGCAGTATACAACAGAATCTTCAACTTTGATTATTAATTTTCAGTGCATTGATTAAAAAGTCATAAATCATACACAACCTTCTCAAACCATGTGCAAGCTCTCCAACTTAGGTTGTGACTTCGTTTGTATCTACCTCTGATCCAACACACCCAGCTTAGCAAATAATCATACATGTACATTTAGTCTCACTCACTTGTTACTACAATTTATCTCCCCTAAGTTGTCTAGCTCTTTTTTTTTTTGGCTGAGACCTTTTTCTGCTAATCTCTATTAGGATAACTTCTTTCCAAACTTTCTTCTAATACCAAAAGTTAGATTTTTTCAATAACAAGCCTAATTGGGAGACATCAGATGCACATATCCTGAAATTAAGCAATTGAAAACATGCACACGCTTCTCCTGATTTCCCCTTCCTACTTGCTTAATTCATATCTAACTGAATTCAGGAACCCTTTCTGTCTTTCACTTCCTCATGGTTTAGATTATCACCCCAACATTAAGAAAGATAGAACTTTAGTAAATAAAAATGCAACCAAAAGAACAGATAAATGGTCTCAAATTGATAGCTTTCAAAGAGTATTGATTGGACATCAATATCATGATAATGAGATAAGACAATCTAAACAAACAACATTGCTCTATTAATTACTTATAGAGTTCAAAAAGTTGCTTACAGAAACAAAATTACAAACATTTTGGAGATTATCAAACTCCTGGATTTGCACTGCAAAGCATACCCTGAGACAACGACCTCGAGCTCCTTGAATCGATTCCTAGACATGAAGTGAGCCTAGCTGAAGACACCACTGAGTGGAGAGGTAACAGAGATTGAAGACAACCCAATTGAGAAACTGACCTGAAAAATTAAAGCCTGACAATTTAGAAGCAGAATTTTGGTACTTCGAAGGAAACCCAAATTAAAAAAAAAAAAAGGATAAAAATACGAGGTTTTAGGGTCAAAAAAGTTAATAAACTTGAATAAATTGAGAGGGTCATATAAAGATAAGGTTTTTAAAGGGCTTGCCATGAAAATGTGGTAGAAGAGCGTGCAGGAAAGAGAGAAGAAGCCGGATTGGGTTTAAGGGTTGGTTTGTTAATGGCCGATTTGAGGACAGAGAATGTTGGTTTTGAGAGAGATCTAAATCGAGACGCCATTTGGAGAAGGCAAAGCCAGAGTGAAATGTTAGGGTTAGGATTTTGACAAAAAACGAGGCTTCAAGGGGTTTAGCCATTACGTTGGGGTGAAATTACCAAAAGAGGATACAGAGGATCTTAATTAATTTAATTCACTTTCTCCAACAGTATTACAAAGTCTAATTAAACTATTTATAATTAAAAAATGGCCTTTCAGCAAAATGAAAATTTGGGTCTGTCACTCCCTACATCTCTCTCCTATCATGCTCTTCAGTCTTCATTATTTTTTTCTAATTTTGAGAAATAAATTTTGTAAATTTTTTTCTCCTTTTTTTTTTTCCTTCTATGTACCTTTCAATTCTTTTTTTTTTTTTTAATGCGCAAGAGAGGTTAAAACCGCTTCAACAATACGGCCTTACAATACAAATTCTGACATAAGCCTAAACAAGCATTAGAAGGAAATATGCAATTTCACAACTCAAAACTACTTTTTTTGTGGCATATAGTCAAAAATCTGCATAAAAATTAGCTTCTTTTTCTATGTTCTTCCATTGAAAAGCATGATATAATACCTCATAAAAAAATGTATTTTACCTGCGGTAGGAAAATCAGCCCATCAATGGTTAGAATACACAAGATTAAAACATTGTTAAGAGTCAAATAACAAATTAATATTCTGGTTCTTCAATCTGTTGCAGCAACCAATCCAAATGGTATTTCCTACTAGTGAATGGTTAGGGATATTCTCATCCAGCAACTACTCTAATTTGTTGCAGCTTGTTGTAAGTAGGTTCCACAAGCCAACCACAATCCATCAAAAGATATTTCTCCTCCAAAACATAGATGTTGTGAAGTGATTAAAGTCACGATTATGGATGCGCGACATGATGGTGATTTTTGCTTCACAACATTAGAGCAAGTTCAACTTCCCTGTCACTGAATCGACTGCTGCTTTTGGTCCTGCACAATCACAACAATAGATGTACAATAACTGTGCAAAAACCAACTGGTTTCTATTTTTACATGTTATTTTGGTGGGTGAAAGTGAAAAGCAACATCCATAACTGAGGCAGTCGTATGTGATCATATCTCATATATATTTATCTACTAAGCACTGGACCCGTCATGGCAGGTAAAAAAAGTTATCTATCACACACAAGCAATTGCAACACTTTTAGCAGAAAATGCAAAAGAAACAAACCAGGTCCAACGGCAAGAACTGTCTTTGACCCTGCTGAAACCTGTAAAATAAAGCAGACTTGAGATCTAGCCCACACATTTTTCTTCCAAATAATAAAAACTATGAATTTAGTACTCAAACATCACATTCAAGAAATTAAGCAATCATACATAACTCAAGTTAAAAGCAAACCATCATGCTCTAGAGAAACCACTTTAGAATCCTTGCACAATGTAATAAAGAATCTCAAACAATTAAAAGTATGTACATCTGCAACAGCACACACCAGGATATACTAAGTCTATTGGTTTTGATGTACATTTAATAAGGACGTCTGACTCCAACTTCACTTCATTTTGCAAGCTCAAAGGCCAAACTTCTCCATTCAATTCGAATTAAGAGATTCCATACTTATGAGTTGCCATTACATTCAAGTTACGTCATGGGGAAAATTGCACGAAGTGATGCAGACAAATACCTGAGTTCTTCCAGCATCAGCAACAACAAAAGTGGGAAGGCCAATGTTCTCAGCTGCTTCCCTTAACTTGTTCCTGATAAGAATGAAAGTGTACTTTCAAAATTAAAAACAAAGAGCAGCGTTTTAAACATGATAGATGTAATATATGCTGAGAACCGAATCATTCCCAATGAAATCACCTGCTTACATTTCTTGTTGATTCCTGCATATAACGACTATCTTGGGTTGCCCACAATGCTCCCATTGTCTCAAAAGGGATCGATCACTGCAATATGATTTAACTTTGATAAAATGATTATAGTTATAGACATAACTACATAGACAAAGGGGTCCTACAGATCCCCCACTAAAGCAAGGTCACAAGTGAAAGTTTGAATTAAAAATCCAATTCACAATCAGAAAACATACCTTTGCATCAATTCTGCATACATGCCAGTGGCAGCATCTATAAATTTGGGAAGGAAGGATTCAGTCAAATGATCAAAAGGTTAGCATACATGGAAATGTTAGAAAGAGGACATTTTTTTCTATATTTTTTGGTTTGGGAGTGGGAGGGAATGGAGAGCTAATGTTAGAAAAGCAGTACAGACTAAAATGGCAAAATCTCAGATATTAAGAACAGTTTAGGAATCTTACGAGCACACTGAGATGCAATCTTCCCTGATTTCATTTTAAGGTCTTGTCTAACCACCAAAACCTGTCATAAGCAGTCCAAGACTCAAAAATTTATATTTTTATAATACCATAGGGGTGATGTTAACAAAACTATAAAAAATCAAACCGATTGACTTACAGAACAGAAAAATTGATGTCAATGAATTCAGCAAAGCATATGGAAACCATAACCAAAACCAATATATATCATCAACTACAAGTTCTGACAAAAGCCAAAAAACTAGCTCTTTGCTTAATTATATCAAACAAGTAGACCCACCAAGTCATTCCCTTTTCTACTGACTAAAATTTAGCGATCAAAACATTCTAAGGACGCTAAAATGTCATCAAAATTGTAATCTGTAACAATCATAGTAGGAAAGAAATAATATTTTAAGAAGTAACAATAAATAGGAAGCCAAAACAAACCATTTTAAGGTCTTGGTCAGCATTAGTGGAAACAAAGTCTTGTTCTTGAAGCTTTCCAGGTAGGAAATTCTTCTTCTTGGAAAGGGTTTTAGTGGGCTTTGATAAATCCAACAATAACCCCAATATGAAACCAAGAACGAGGCCTGGAATGAAGTTTTCAGGTCTGAAACTCACCCCTAACCGTTCTCTTTCCTGCTTCTGCAGCTTCTGATATTGCATAGAAGAAATAGTGCTATCAATTTGTACCAATACAAAAGAGAAACAGCTAGAGGAGGTATTAGAAAAAGAAAATAGTACTCCCATAAGTGAGAAATACCTTGTTTGTAGTTTGAGAAGAGTTCCGAGTGGAGGCCCACATAATCTTTGAGAAGAAAGATTGAATTGGGTGTTAACTGGTAGCAAGTGGGACTGAGCAGCCAGGAAAACTGGGAAAAGAAAGATGCTAGTTGTAGAAGAAGAAGATGAGATAAAATGATTTTGTCAAGGTGTTGTTTTCAAAATTCAGGGCTACCCTAAAACGATGCCGTTTTAAGTTCAATTGGATGCATTTCGTATCTATACCAAATAAATTTGTATATATATTATCATAATTCATAAGTTTTCATTTTCCATAAGTGCTGGTTTTGAATTTGAGTATTTGATTAAGGGCTTGGGAATGTTGGAGAATCTCTCTCTGCTGTTGGTAAACGTTGAAAGGAAGTTTTCTGGCTGTTGCCTCCATGGTAAGTTTATCGACCACATACATATAATCAAAAATTGGCATTTGCCAGGGGAACAAAGGGACTTTGTATCGATCGATTCCAAAACCAACTTTACTGGCCATCTAACAGATTAATGCATTAATTCTGCAAATGGGCAAACCCATCTACGACTAGTGCACGAATTTTGTGAAATCTCTACTCGTACAGGTACAAGTACCAACAAGTTAAATGTTAATATTGAACAAAGACGCCCTCAAGTTGACTTCCATTCAATTTCATCTTGGAATTAAGCAAACTAGGATTCTTATATCTAAAGCCATTGATCACCAAAAATGGCAAGTCTGATTTGCTTGCAAGAGGCCATAACAGCATAACTTGCCTTACCCTCTATTCAACCTAGCCTTTTTAACCATTTCATGCCTCAACTTGCCTGATAATCAACCTTAGACTCATGACTTTAATAACCTTTAGCCGTATAGCTAGGCTCGTATGTAGCACCCCCGTCGCCACCAAGTTAAGGTTTCCCAATTCGCGTCTTCGCACTATTTCCCCAACCATCCCGCTATTCCTCTCGTGTCCTTCAATTTTGCCCAAAGAATCTCAGCCAAAAGTCTCTAACAAATACGCGAATCTTTCTCTTAAAATGGCACATTTCAAGTACTCCATCCCATCTTCAGTTTTCTATAACCCATTATGGACCCCGCTCCTAGTTCATCATCAACAATTACAACCCCACCAAACCACCTCCACCACAACAGGCCACATCACCGGTTCAAACCAACCCAACCCTTCACCGATCGGATAGCCCGAGCGCTCCGTCACCCGCTCTTCCTCCTCCACAGATCCGATTCCAACTTCTTTATCTTAGGTGCCACAGGAAATGTTTACACCGTTACGTTATGTTCAACCCCTTCATGCACCTGCCCTGACCGTACAACCCCATGCAAGCACATCTTATTTGTTCTAATCCGAGTATTGGGTGTCTCAATCGACGACATTTGTCTCCGCAGGAGGACTCTAAGGCCATGTCGACTGAACCGCCTTCTCGGCACGCCAACGTTGCCTGGAGCACTAGCGGGGGCTAGCCTACGTGAGAGGTTCCATCAGCTTTTCTCTGAGGCAAAGAAGCAAGGTGGGTCAGGATCTGGAGCTAAGGAGATGGAATTAGAAGGAGCGGTGTGTCCTGTTTGCTTAGAGGAAATGGAGAAAGGAGAGAAAGTGGTGGCTTGTTCTACATGTCGAAACCTGATTCATGAAGAATGCTTGATGAGATGGAAGAGAAGCAGAGGGAGGAGGTCGGCTACTTGTGTGATTTGTCGTGCAAGATGGAGCACTGATCAAGAGAAGTATCTGAATTTGGCAGCTTATATCGGCCAAGACCAGGCTGGTGGTGGCCTATGTGCTGGATAAATCGTGTTTCATTCTAAATTACTTTGGGTTGGATTTATTTGGAAAGTTAGGATTACAAATGTTGATGTTATGAACAGATTTGCTTAATTAATTTTATATATCATAGATATTGTAAATGTTAAATTCATTTTAAATTAGAGTACAGCTTAATTATTGTTTGGAAATCATTAAAAAAAAAAAAAAACTTAAACATTATTGGACTCAATATATGGTAAGGATTATATGTATCTTCCATTCCAAGAGTCCAAGTTTAAACCATCTTTATTTAATTGAAAATTTAAAATAATATATCATATCTCAAAATATATTTTATTATTAATTACCCAATTCCTTAGGAGGAAGCATAAAAATTTACAAACAAGATCATTAGTATGTATCTTCAAAACATTTTCTAGAAAAATACACATGAATGTATATCATGTTTGATTAAATTTTATATGATAATATATTTTTCCAAAACACTTTTAGAAGATATTTCTCAATTTTTTTCATATTTAAATTATGATTAAAATTAAAATTTTCAATTCTCAATTTTGAATTGATTATCATTTTAATATCGTTAAATTAGTAATTCATCGTTGAATACTTTATCATTCATCAAAGAGAGATCATAAGACATAATTTTAAATTAACTATTAGCTTATGTGGGTCAAAATATTAAAAGCATATATGCATATGGAAAATGCAAATGGTTTGGACATGTCTGGAAAAGAAAAACCAAACAAATTTGGAATTTACTTGTTAACATGTTCAATTTAGCCTTATCCTTTCCTAATTCCTGACAGCAAATCACATTTTAACACCAAAAATGGCTTTATGTTACTGTCTAACCAAAATTTAATACAATATTCCACACAATTAAGCTAAGAACATGTGGACCGTGGACCAGAAATAACAAGTCCTACACGAAATCATTGGTTTCATAACCTTTATAATTTCAATTGATTTGGACCGACAGAACAGATTTATAAGAATTCGAACACGTAATTATAGAGTATTAAATCATTTGAAATTCCAAATTTGTCCCTAACATTTAAAGATAACTACCACTCAAGAGCTCACACGTCTGTGAAGCACTTCTCATTCCATTCTTGCCAGCGCTGTTTAATCGTCTTCCGCTTCTAGTAACTTCCTGAACTAAAAGCTAAAGCTTTATACTCCCCGGAAACAATGGAAGACGCCGCCGGAACATTCTCCGGTTCCGGAAACTTGTCCCGCAAAGTGGTTGCAGTGGCCGCCGGTGAAGCTCATACTCTTGCTCTCTCTGGTATACAAAAATAAAGCTTTGATTTATTTGTTATATTGCTCCTTCCCTAAGCTCTATTGTGTTATGGTGATAAAAAAGTTTAAATTGGAGGATTTTGATAATGTGTTTTGTTCTGAATGGAAATTGCAGGGGATGGGTACGTGTATTCATGGGGCAGAGGAATGTTTGGGAGACTTGGGAACGGTTCAGAATCCGACGAGCTTTTCCCGGTTCGGGTCAAGTTCCAGAACTCAGAGCTTAAGTTTATAGATGTCGCTGCTGGTTCTTATCACAGTCTTGCTCTTGCAGGTTTATAATCTATGGTTTTTTGCAAATTTTTAACACTTGCTTTTTTGATAATTCCTTCTTTTTGATGTTTGTTAAATTGTTCCACTGAATGTCATGATTGTTAGTAGCAATTGAAAATTTTTAGTCCATTGACACCTTTGGATATGTAAATGGCAGATGATGGATCAGTTTGGTCTTGGGGTTATAACATCTGTATCCTTTTTATGAGAGGAATTTATAGCAATATTTGTTTTTGAAGCTGCATTTTTATCTATTTTCTTTGCTTTTTGTATTTATGTGTTTTGATATATCCCTTGACTGTCATATGGATGGCCAACTTGGTCGAAATGATGAGAATTCTTTGGCACCTCAGTTGTTGGAGCCGTTCCTTGAATTGGGCTCCCCTGATCAATCAAAAGATGAGTTAGACATAGAGACACAAAGTAAAGCACCATTGAAGGTATGACATGAGTTATATTGCTGTTGGACTTGAAAGGCCATGTTTCATGCTCTTCTCATTGCTTGTTCTACCACAGATTTGTGTAGTCAAAGCTGGAGGAATGACTTCTCTGGCAATTGATAATCTTGGCGCCCTTTGGATGTGGGGCAATTGTCCACATGAGAACAGCAGTGGTGATGGAGGCTTGACATTTGTGAGTAGTTTTACTCCAATTCCTGTTTGGCATTTTCATGGCCATACTGTTGTTAAGGTCGCATGTGGAAATGAGCATGTTGTAGCTCTAGTCAGTGCTGGAGAAACTTATAAAGGTGATGATCTGGTATGCTACTCTTGGGGTGTTAATAACCATGGCCAGTTAGGCCTTGGAGACAGAGAGAGCAGGGTCCATCCTCAAATCGTTGAAACATTTAACCAGGACTCACAATGGACAGTTTATGAGGTTGCATGTGGTGCCTTCCACACAGCTTTGCTTACTCACAAAAATAGACCAAGTGACACACTTGAGAGTATTTGTTGGACGTTTGGCCTTGGAGACAAGGGGCAACTTGGGCATGGAACCACACAAAATGCATTGGTTCCTGAACCTGTGAAAGAGTTACCACATCCCTTGTATCTTGTTTCTCTTGACTGTGGCTTGTTTCACACTAGTGTTGTTTCTTCAGCTGGTGATGTGTGGTCATGGGGAATGGAAAAGGGTCTAGGGTTATGCCCGGATGCTAGTTTTACAGGAACAGATGCAGGAGATGCCATTTCTCCCCTACGGATAACAGGTGATGGAGTTCATGGGCCTAAATTTCATGATCCGGTTCAAGTTTCTTGTGGGGCTGCGCATACTGTTCTTGTTGCACATGATGGATATAAGCTATGGTCATGGGGCAGGGGAAGGAGTGGAGTTCTTGGAAATGGTAAAACAATTGACTGTTTCACTCCCTCAGTTGTGTTATGGCCTCCACTGAACGAGGATTTCAAGCAAGACGAGCTGAACGGTACTGTTGGTGAGGAAAATAAGATTGTAGATCATAAGGGTTCTGATGGAGTCGCAGAAATGGATAAAAAATTATCTTTGGCCATGGAAGAAATGAAGCTCCTCCAATCAAAACTTTCCATCATGGAACGGTATGCAAGCATACTTCACGGTTCAATTTTTGGTAAACCTTTTGATGAGCAAGATATCCCAATCTCATTGCAGAACTCAGGTACTTTTGACATTGCAAGGGAATGGGAAAACATGTTGGAGTCAGCAGACCGTAGCAAGCTTGTTAGACTGGAATTGTTCTATCGAAACATGCTTGCCGGTGTTAAGGATAAGATCATGAAGAAAAGGATCCAGGAGATAATAAAGGAGTGTCTTCCTTCTTCAATGCAAGGAACATAGTGCTGGAAATTGTAATCAAGCTGCACGAAACATAGCACATTGAGCATTTTGGTTCACATGGAAAATCTTACAGTCAACAAGTTGGTTATATTAATAAGCTTCCTATATCCTATTACATGAACAATACAGATACAATAATGTATGTATGAACTTCTTTCATTAAATCTGTGTATTATTGTAAATGACATGAAAGTTGTTGAACTGCCTCTGTTTTTTTTTTTTTTTAAGTATATATAATTAAATGGATTAAATAATAAAAAATAATTCTAAAATAAAAATTTATACGCTCATGTCATTTTTTCAGTATAAACAAATAATAAAATAAAATTTTATTTTGTATATTTTTTTTATTTTAATTGTGAAAGTGTAAGATTAAGAAAAAATAAGTAGTACTCCTGCATAGATAAATGAGATTTAACTAATTCGGGGCTGATGCTTCTTTTTATATACTTTAGTATTATAATAGTAAAAGGAGCATTTTATTCTAGGGATGCCATTTTTTTTTGGCCTCGTAACCAAACACACGTCAAATTAGTCCCTCCTTTTCGTAACGACTCAACGTTCCGAAACCCCTTCAAAAACCCTAACTAGCACCCACTCACTCACTGATTTATTGGCAAATAATGCCCGGCGCCTCGTCAGATTCCACCAGTGGCGCTTTGGTTCCACTCTTACCGGAGGCACAGGGCGCGGTGGTGTATCCTCTTCACCATGGTCTCACATCTCCAGTCTCTCGACTCTCCATCTCGTGGTCACGCGGTAACTCTCTCCGCATCTCGGTCTTCGCTTCACCGTCGGTGAATGATTCCGACAATGAAGACGCAGGAGGAAAAGTGGTGGAGGTGAAGCTCGGTGGCGGAGACGGCGAGATCAGCGACGCTCATTGGCGGAGGATCACCTACGGTTCAGTTTCTCCTTTCGCTCTACTCCAGAGCAGGAAAAACGCCGCCTCCGGCTTGTCCAAAATGTCCATGAATTCTTCACCTTACAATGTTGACTGGTAATTAGTTTTCAAATTTTCATTTTCGTACTCATATATTCGAAATTTATTTGCTTTTTTTTTTTTAAATAAATTGAGTTTGTTGTGGTCAGGTGGGAGTACATAATGGAGTACAGCAAGGACATAAGTGCCCTTCTTGGCAATCAGAAATCGCCTTCCAATCCTGTTATCGACGATCCGGAGTCAGTCATAAAGGTAATTTCTTATTCTTCTTCTTCTTCTTTTTGAGGCAGTTTATGCTTCTGATTTTTCTTTTAATTTCAATTTGCCTTCTTTTTTTTTCTCAGAAAGGACAGGAACCCACTAGTCTGAAGGCTGCGTGGGAGCTATTGGAAATGTTTTATGCTGAAAAGCCATCTCAATCATGGTTACCTGAGCGCCTTGTTGATTGGTTAGCTGTAAATCTCCTTCCTTTTTGTTACTATATCTGTCAAGTTTTTACATTACTTTTGTTTTAAAGTTGTATGTTCCTTGTGTCATACTAATAATGAATTTATTGTCTTGGCAGGATTACAATAGCCTTTTCTCAGGAACACACCCGACAGTCCACTCAAAGCTTATTGATTTTCAAAAAGAACTCGTTAACTTGCAGGTTTTACATAATTAGCCTTCTATGTGGTTTAATAAAGTGAACTTCTCTATATGGTTCTTATCCAGCTTTAGAGTTTAGTCTTGCGAGTTTTTTGACCGATTTGTACTCAATTCTAGATTCATCTAAGATAGTGGTATTTAATCAGTTTATTCAATGCAGGTTGTGGAGGATGATCCTAAATACTGGGAAGTTATGTCATCAGCACTGGCAGTTGGTTGGCTAGATATTGTGGTTAGTGGTTTGATAGTCTGATGTGATTTCATAGCATAAAATGATGAAATCATGATAAATATATTTTTTATGGAATTTTTATGATTGGTTACAGTTTTATATTTTCACTTGCAGGTGAAAATGTTGCGTTTGCATGGATCTTATCAATTAGATCAACTCAGCAATCGTGAGGTTAGTAAGAAATTGATTGTTGATGTAGTTCTATGTTCCTGTAATAATTGTATGTATTGAGTACCATTGAACCATATGCTTGTAATTTTTTTGCAAGTCTTTGAAATGTTATATGATAGTTAGAGGTTTTGTAAATCTGGGTCAGTTATTTGACCAATGTGTTAAAACTTGGAAACTATTTCCTTTCAGCCAAGTAGTTCTCTCTCTTTTTTGCATTTTCATGCGTCAAGGATTTCATTTACTCTTTTTCCTTAAGTTAGTCTGTCCATGTCAAGTGACATCATGTTTATTGTTGCTGTAACAAATTGAAATATATGTATTTTTTGTCTCGTTTGCATGTACATCAACAGACTGAGAATGGTCTTGTAGAGGCAGTTGCTGTTCTTATTTCAAAAATGCCACGCATGCGTTTGGAACAAAAAGCTGGAAATTTGGGTGAATGCTTTAAGGCCAAGCCTGATTTTGTGAAGGTATCTTAAATTCTTCCAGTGATGTTCTTTTCTCATTATGCTTCATGATCCTCTACCTCCAAAGATAGTAAATCAAGTCTTTCTTTTTCATAGGCATGGGAGAAATGGCGGGCACAAATAAATAAGCTAGATTCAAGTGCATTCTGGTTTCAGTGTGCTCACCAGCAGACTCGGGAGGGCTTGAGAAGTATGTTACAAGTAATGCTGGGTAATGCTAATAGTCTCTGCACTGCAACATGCCATTGGATAGAGCTGTTTATTTCTCACTTGCTATACATCAGGCCATTCACTGTGGTATACGCCTTTCCTCTATTACATATCTTGTAGCATTTGTGCATGTTAGCTGGACTTAAAATAATCATTTGATTTCTTTTCTTGGCAGGGGTTAGAAAGCATGTACAGCTTGGCACAGAAATGCATCCAACTGAAATCAGTGGCCTCTGCACATAGGTTGATGAGACTTATAATTGGAATTCTTGGGGAAAATACTGAGGTGACACGTGGGGATAAAACATGAATTGACATTTTCCATTAAAATTCTCCTTTTAGTTCCTTAACCATGGAGTAAATTGTGCTTTTGTAACCTCTCAGGTTGTACTAGCAGAATGCTCAAAAGGATTTGGTCCTTGGTGAGCTGCCATGTTTCCATCTTTTTTCTTGCTGTTTGTTGTATGTCAGTATATTTTTGGTCTGACAACCATGAGTAAGTTATCATTAAATTGAAGCTTGGACATGCCCATGCCGTTATTAAGATCTATCTCTGTTAATGCTTGTCATCAGGATGGTTGCCCATGCCTTAGAGTTATTGACTACTGGGAGCGATCTTGCAGAAATGCTTTTACATGAAGAGCATCAGAACTTGGGGGGAATAAGTATAGAAGAGCTTCATCGACTTGTTTATGCTGAAGTCCTATCTTCACATCCATTAACTTGGCAAGTGAGTGCAACTAACCGTGTGGATTACTATCATTGGTATATGGACCGACAATTATGCATGTTTTATACGTTGTATGGGTTAGGGTAGCCTTGTTAAGCTAGACAAATGAGATATGGAGTGCTACTTAACCAACTTCATTGGATATGATTCATAGTAATTAGTAAATTAATCCTATTCCCCATTATTATTATACTGGATAAAGAATAATATCTGAACGCAATGCTAGCACTTTGATTAAGTATTTCTCACTTATTGTTTGCTGTAACATGTACAGATTGCTCCAATTTATCTTACATCATGTGTGAAGCAGGGGATGGTTCTGTTACAGATATTATTGTCCAAGCAGCCTGTTCAACATAATCAGTTGCTGTTTAAGGTTTATTGGTTCATTTTTTTATCCCACTCATCTTTGCCATTGTGAATGTTGATTTCCTCTATTGTTATGAATTTTAGAGGCTTATTAAGTGGTTGATTGATGATGTAATTCTATGTTGCATGCAGAACATAGAGATTTGCCGCCTTTATGAACTCGACGGCATAAGTTCAAACATTATGAAGGTATAAGCATCTGTAATTTGGAAGGCATCATTTATTTTGGTGGTGTGGATAACATAAGCTTGGCATTCATTTTTGGTAATTATGTGTTTCACAATCTGTTGAGTGGTTTAGTGGTAAGACTTGATAATTGAACGTGTGAGCATGTCAGTTAAAGATTCTCACTATCCATGTTTAGATTGCTGGAGTGTACCACTGGAAGCATGGTAGGAAAGGTTCTGGTGTCTTTTGGCTTCAGCAAGCTCGGGACGAGTATCGTCTTAATAGGATAGCTCAGCAGTTGTTTGATTCAGTTGGAAAAACAATATCTGATGAGAGTTTCAAGGTAATTTGTACAGGCAATCTCCTAAGCTCAAAGCTGTTTTCTTCCCCTTTTTCCCCAATTTGTTTACTTTTTATTTTCAAAATCTTTTATGTTCTGAACATATTTTACTTTATGAGATACTTAGTCTATCCTCTATCTTCACAGCAATGGGAAGGATTAATTCAGTTATTGGGTTCTGAATCTAAGGCTGCTGGTGGACTAGAGTTTCTGCAGAAGTAAGAATTTCTGTCATTGCCTACTGTTGGATTATATGCATATTAAAAAGGATGCTGCAATACAATTTACATCAAATTTCTAAGCCCCCCAACCACAAACTTTGATGCATCTCAGGTATAGAGATTTCAAGAAATCTCTTCAGCAGGTTCATGATGGAAAAACTGCAGATGCTACTCACCAAGCTGTGGAATCTCTGATATCGGTACATATTTGGACTATCATCTGTTATTTAACTTATTAAGCCTGCTAGTCTGCTACTTGGTGCGAAGACCTGATAATTAGTTGTAATAAAGAGACATTTTCTGAGATATCAGGTTACTATGTATTTAATAGAATAGTCTCTTCTGTGGCCGTATGTAGAGGACCTTGATATATCTGTTAAATTCACCAGGTATAACTGATAATTGATTTTATCATGCATTATTATTGTTCTGTGATTTTTTTGACTGCAGCTTATGAAAACCCCTTCAACACCTCAACGCTTTTGGTTGCCTCTTCTTTATGATTCGGTAAGCTGCTTTTGCAATGATAATGTGCATCAATTTCTTACACGATTGCAAACTTTAGATCCATCATTATAGATTGTGCTTGCACTATGGAATTTTCATTATATCCGCTAATGCTTGTGGCACTGGTTTTTCGGCAGTTGAAGCTGCTTAATTGGAAGGATCGTCCTCTGTTGAATGTCTCTCAGACAAATCTTCTGTTAAATAAACTACAAGAATTGTCCATGGCAAGGCTTCGCCCAGACTTCATTGAAGCTGAATTACCATCCCAGGCCTTAAACTCTGTTAGACTGGCTCTTGCCACGAATCTTGGACGTGCTATCCTAGAGGAATGAGCCTCCCAAGATTTATTGTTCATTGCTTGTGGAAATATACCTAGGAGTCATTTTGCTTTCACTTGGAGAAAACAAGTATAATTATAGACTAGAAAACTATTTTACCGACGAGCATTGTTCTATAAAATTAAAAAAAAAAAAACTTTCGTCAAGAGATGCTAAGCCTGTAAAATCATTGACTGCACACTTTGGCAATATCTGTACGACGTTGAAGTAAAAGTTTTCAATGAATTTTGTATTCAGCCGCAGAGAAATAAAATACAGATGTGCTTGGATGAGCTGCAAATTAGGTTTACGTACAAGCAGGGACATGAAGGAGAATGCTGGAAATCCATTCTTTTTTTTTTTCAATCAATAAAGCCTGATTTATGATACATACTATTAATACCAGCCCCAGGACAGAGTAAATAACTACATTGAGGAAGACAACCCGCGACAAAGTAATTCATCAATCAATCGAAATAAAAGGCAAAATGAACAAGCAATGATGGATAAAACAAATAATGAACAAAAGAACCTTATACAGCAAACAAATTCTTCTAAATGCTGTTGAGAATAGACAAAATCAGATATGAAGGAATCTCATAATCTTGAAATAATTGAATCTAGTGATAATGAATATCCACCAACCTTGAAAGTCCATTGGCTCTATGATTTCCTCTCTCCCAACCCCGCATCTTGGTGAATATCAGCTGGGTTATACCTGAACAACCCCGATACTACTATACAAGATTAGTGCCACATCTCAAGGGGCTTGCACCGAACCAGGCATGACATGCTAAGCATCTTGTCTGGGACTTCTCATAATACATATAGAATTGCAAAACATTGCAAGCACATGATGCTACACAGGATGCAGTCTTCCTTGGTTTGCTATGCACCAAACCCCAGGTTATTACAGTTTCTTAGGTAGATTATAAGTCTTCTTAAGGAACCTTGAAGCTGTCTCATCTTTCCGGTAACATAACACACGCAGGAGAGTGTTTGGCTCAGTAGGATTCCACTGCCCTGATGTTGGAGGTAGTGGAAGCCTAGACCTCGCAGATGAGCCATACGTCTCCAAGGTCACACGTCTGAACCGCTCAATTAAGCTCTCTGAATCAGTTCTGAAGAGGGGAAGGACACCTCTCACAGTAGCTGAAAACTTATCTATGAGGTCAGCAGGCAAACCATCCCCATTGGCCCAAAACAGATCTTTAAGGGCTTTGAAATCATCCTCTATAATTTGAGAATCCTGACGAGAGAAAGCACGAGAGGGGCCTCCAGCAAGTAAAACCAGCAAGAATCCATCACAGGTAGCCTTCATGATATCAGTTATAATCCTTGTACGAACTCTTTCATGCACAGTTTCAGAGATGATCAACAAGTTTCGCTCCAGTTCCTGTAATAGAGGGTCAATCCTAGAAGATGATGGCTCCCCTACATACAAACCATCCCATAAAAAATGACTTAGGTCATGGAATACGATTTTGTAAGCTACTGCCTCAGACAATTGCTGAACCCCTTCCACACAAGCAGCTGGTGTTAGTTCAAATTTCTCGCTCAAACCATTAGAAAAATCTTCCACATGAGCAGACTCACAGTTCCTCAAGTGGGTTATGATCCTCTTCTCTAAAACATCCATCTCAGTTCGGATATGGTGCAGAGTATTTATACGAACACACAGCTGTGGTATCCCAAATGAATTATCTCCATTCATTGTCACAACCTGAGAATTTCTCTTCTGAGAATTTTGTGACTTTTCTTTCTTCTTCCACACACCTTGGAACTTTGATCCTGTCTCACATCGGGTCAAGGCAGGCAGTGTAGGGATATATGTATTGCGTGAACCTTCATGTCAGATTAAAACGACAGCATATGTTAGACACTCTAGAAACCTTAGACATCATAGTGAGCATTTATGTGATTTGCAAGCACTTACCACAGCCAGATTTTGCCTTCATTACGTAATACTGAAGACATTTGTCAAGGCCAGCCATCAAATCAGGTAGCAATGCAGGATGTGTTGGTATTGGCAGCTGGAAAAATGCATCTAAAGTCTCATCAATGATTCTCAATATTTCGACAGCAGAGGGAGCATATCCTTCTTGATTTGCTTGTGGATTCCAAACCTAACATAATACAAAGTGTTGGTTAGCAAAAAGCAAAAGATAAACAAATAATAACAAAGTTCGATTATCAGAAAACTGCAATCAGCAATTCAGTAGATATCCAAGTCAGTTGCATGAATAAATTTCAAATGGAATATAAACTACTTCTAACTAGATACTGCTTTATAGATAACATTGAATTTGAAACTAAATAAACAAAATCCTGAACCTATAGAGAAATCATCTTCTACTAACTTAAGTAACAGGTGAAAAAGATCATAGTCTCTGCAGCAGCTGTTACGGTTGCTAACCACACTGTTATTTTTTTAATAAATGCAAAGTAAACTACTAATTTTATGGAAACCAAACCACTAATAAGACATCTTGGCGCTGATATATATACTCTTCATTCCTTCACAATACCTATTTTCTTACTTCTTATCGTAATTTATAGGACTTAGGATGTAATCCAAATGCTTACGTAATGTTAATTCTTTAACAAAATTCCTTCTTCACTTTTTGGTTTCTGTGTCACTTGTTTGTAGTCAAGGCATGCAAGGAACCAGTGCCTAACGGATTTATCCTTCAAGAGAGTAATCTATTAGCAAACTATGATCATTGCCTATGCACCGAAAAAAATGATTATTTCCAGTACCAAGAAGAGAACGATAATTTCACAATGAAAATAAAATTACATGATATGAAACTGAGAAGTTGTAGAACTTGGATTTGATAGATATAAATTTCAGATAAAATTTTAATCCAAATGGCAAGAATAGCAAGTGCATACCTCTTGTTGCAAATTCCTGTCAACCCATTCCTTAGGTCTGTCTAATCTTGTCTTGATCCATCCTTTAACCAGATTGGCAATTGCAGTTTCGGCTTCATAAGGAGGCATCTCACGGATTATTGCCTTCCCACCATCATCACTGTCTACTGCATCCTCAACTGCAATCTGCACGAGATCTTTCTCCAGCTTATCTGCAGCTCTCAGTACTTGAACAGCATCAGGGGTTAACTCCATAATGCCTGATATAAACTGTTTTATCTCATTTGCATAACAAGCATGAAGGGTGGCTACAGCTACACCAGCTGCCAAAGGATGCCAACCCTTCAGTATTGGACTGAAAACCTGCTTCTCATGAACTGCTAGCTCACCAACATCCTTAGCAAGGATTGCAAGGAGAGGAAGAGGATTCAGCTGGTTTTTGGAAGCTCTCCTGCTTGAGTCTGCTTTCTCCATTCTCTATATGAAAACAAAATAAAGTATATGCATGGTCATTAAACCAACTAAAAGGAAGAACTGGGAAGAGAGAGAGAGAGTATCCAAACACATCACACATTTGTTGCATTCGAAGTCTTGTACATATGCAATGAAGATTCAGATACTATAAATGTGCCATAGGCACTTAGTTTTTCCTGATAGTCGGTAAAGGGGCCAATAGCAGTTAGTAAAGACTTGCCTGAGCAAAAGCAGTGCGCAATGATGACCTGATGTAAGTGTCAATTCTATTTCGAGCTACATCAACTTCCCCTTTCCTCTTTCTGCGATACTCAGTAGATACATCCTCAACCAAAATCTTGGCTGTTGATACACCTAAAGAAACAATGCCCTGCATGGTATATATATTTCCACTATCAAAAGTATCATGGTATGCAAGGAGTCTTTTCTCTGCCCAGCCCAGTATTGAAGTCAATGTAGAACTTAAAATGCTGGAGTATTCTGGATCCTTAGTTGTCTTAGCATCTTTTGCTACTTCTGCTAGCTGACTATCAGCAGCATATAGTAAGTCCATTTCAACTTGCCCAGTAGCAACAAAACGGTGAAATAAGACCCATGTAAAGCAGAGATTATGGAGCATTTGGTTAATCCCAAGGATCACCCACGCCTTCTTTATATGCTCCATGAGCTCATCAACTTCCTCAACAATAGATGTTTCATCGTTAATATTAAAGCATGTCTCCAAAAGCATTTCATAGAGTCTAAGATTCAGTGGAATGCCATCAGCCCAGTGGCAAGACTCAGAGAAGGAACCATCAGACCTGGAAGCAAGAGACATAACAGCACTCCGAAGAACTTGCATTGATTCATTGTTCTTTCCGGTTTCTATTGGCCTATCTAGGGCTGCATGAATGATTTGTCGTAGCCTTTGTGAAGCATTATTTGACTTATCAAGTGGTACACGAGGATGCAATAGTAACCCAGCCTCAAGAACCTTGAGGTTTCTTTTCTGCCATGCATCATATTCTTGTTGATCAGTAAAATCTGATAGCTTCAGCTGCTGTAATAGCTCCAACGGAAGAACCACAGATTCAATCCGCCTTCCAACCTGTGATACATAAATTTATAGTAGACCATTATCAATCTACTGAACTAATACCAACGTGGTTAAGTCCTCATATGCAATTCCACCCCACCCCCATGGTTACCCCCAGGGAAAAAAAAACATACAGCAGACAATATAAACTAAATAAACGGGATAAAGTTACAACAAGAAAGAATCATTAACTTCATCAAAACGCTATTACATTCCCCTCTCAAATTTGATGATCTTAATGAATTAGCAAAAATATTCGAGAATTTACATTATCACTCCATTATTTAGGATTAAATTCTCAAATCAAATTTGTTTGCAACTTAAATCATAATCTACTTTTCAACCTTGTTATCATCAGATCCTATTTCTACCGCATCAACTTTAATATTGAATAATTAAAATTAATTTATTCACATGCAGCATTATTTGGATCAAATAAATTGCAAATTAAATTAAAAAAAAAAAAAAGCGAAAGTCCAGATCAACGAAAATTTCATATAAAATAGAACTTAAATTGAGCTCACCAGGCCGCCGCCGATTCTCAAAAGTGCTCTTCTAACTCGCGAATCAACGGCCTCAGGTATCCGCATTTGAATCCTCATAAGCTCTCCCACAGTCGTAGGCAGCTTGGACTTGCCCTGGCCCGTGCCTGGCCCCGAACCCGGACTCTTCTTCGAGCCCGAAGAGCCCGGCGACTTCAATCCCAAAGCCTTCTTCATCTTACTAGCGGCGGCTGACGTAAGCGAGCGTTGCAACGCGGGCGAGTTAGGGGAGTGGTTGTGGTTTTGACTAGGCGAGTTGTGACTCAGCGAATCGGTATTGAGGGAGGCGGAAGTGGAGAGAGGTTTAGAAGAGGAGGTACGACATACGGCGAGGAAGACATCGTAAGCGGTGAGTCGGAGGTCGGCGTCGGTGAGTTGAGAGGCGAGTTGGCCGAGTGGAGATTGGAGATCTGTTGATGTGAGCTTGCTTGGCATTGGCTGACGTTGAGTTTGTAGTGGCGGTGGCGTTGACTCTCTCTTTGAGTGGCCGAGGGAAAGATCTCTGAAGAGATGCGCCATTGTGTTAACTCAGAGAGAGAGAGAGAGAAAAAAAAAAAATGGCGACCGAGTCAGAACATGTACACGTACTATTTGAGAGAGTGAAAACGGAAGAGAAACAGAACGAAGAAGCGATAGGAGCTGTTTGACATATTTGTTTTTCAAATTTTATTTTATCTTTTTAGGCATTTGAAAGAGAGAGACATTATTTAAAAAAAAAGGCGATTTCGTCATAATATTTATTTTTTTAACTCTAAAAAAATGGGTAGATTATGTAAATATTACAAAATTAAAAAATAGATATATTATGTCAAAAATTACATAAAATGAATTTTTATATATTTTTTGTCATAATTCCATTTTGGTCTTTTGGCTTGAACTGAATAGTGAAGAAGACAATTAACAGCGATAGGGGAGTGGAATGCACGCAAGTGAAAAGAGAAAGTCAAGCGCGTGAGGCGCGACCAACCGTTTTCATGCAATCTTGAAATAAAGAAAAAAGAGTATGAAAGAAAGCTGCATATCTAAAAGAACGGTGAGATCCTTGATTGGTGGGGACCGCACGCACCTGTAAAACACACTAACACACGCCAACAAACGGCCCAAATTTTGTTTATTTCTTAAATCACTAAAATTAAAATATTTAATATTTTATTAATAAATTATATAATTATTTTATTAAAATTAAAATTTTTTTATTACATCACGAAGATAAAATTTTGATTTAAATCAGACCTTTAATATATTTTCAAACGTTTTTAACCGTTAAATCAAAATTTTGAAAATAAAATTAAAATTTTAATACTCCATTAAAAGCCACCGTTGTCGGCAACATTTGTTTATTTCTATTTTAATAAATAAATGAATTAAAACAGTGATGGATAGTGCCAGAAAATCCTGGTACGTTTTTTAATTTATTTTTTTAGATTACAGTGACAGCCCAATTATTTGATTTATTTACTCCCTCTACCATCCACCAGCTAAGGCAGCAACAAATAAAATTTTTTTACTAATTCTTTTCTGATTAGAGAAATACCTTGCTCAATTCAAGATTTTTTTAAAGAATATACTGAATAAACAAACAAGCACGCCAAGAATTTACTGCATGTTTCCATCATATATTAATTTTATTAGATTTAAATATTATAAAGTTTGTTAAACTTAATTATAATGGTTGCATGTTTAATATAAAATTAAATGTTTAGTTTGTTGATCAAATTAATACCAAAATTATTATTTATTTTAATTCAAAATTTAAATGTTTCAAACATTAGGAGCCAACCATCTCTTTAATATTAAAAGTAAATTTCATGTTTGAATAATTACCTTCCAAATTTTATCTTCTTTTATATTTACCTTACTCAATAATCTGTTTAACAAAGTCCATTTATCAATCTGAGCCAAAATACTTACTACTATTAAATTTCCACTTTTTGGATTATAATGTCGGCAGAATAGCAAGTATTAACCACTAATGATTAGGTGAGAGGTTTCATTTATAAAAAAAAAAAAAAAAAAAGTTGACAATGGATTTCCATCTTGGCATCTTACGTTGGTAAAATATCAAATCTTTTTCTTCTTTTGGTTGGCCTCAACTCAAAATATAAATAAAATTTTCTTATCAAATCAACATTTACACTTATTTTTCATTTACTTAACGTTTTATGAACTTCCATACATAGTTATTTTATTTAAAATTTTAAATTAATTAACCTTGATATAAAAAAGCATGACCCATTATAGACATCATTTATTAAAAGATATATGTGTATGAGTAAGGATCTATTTATTTTAATATAATTTTTATATTTTTTAAAATTTTTAATCAAAATTAAATTCAAAATTCAACTGAATTAAAACAATATTTTTAAATATAATAATTTTAATTCTAATATCCAAAAAATATAAAAATTACATTAATATAAGTGGATTCTTATTTTATATATATATATATCTTATCACATTAATATTTACATTTTTTTCATGTACTTAAAGTTATAAACTTTCTATGATTATTTTGTTGTAAATTTTAAATAAATTAGTTAATTTATTGACATAATTTATTAATAACACACGTTATGTAAGGAGAACGGTCACATTAACTACAGAACAAAGTTTTTCCGGTAACTTATGTAGCTGAGTCAGGGTTCCAATATTGAAAATGATGTAGCTCCAAAGGACAACATTATGCCAGATGTACCCTTTTCTCTGCCAACCATGCATTATTATTATTATCATCTACGCCTAAGAATGTTTATAAAGTCCAATTTTTATAAAATATCTTCATTTTAATAATCTCTATCATGTTCAAATAAAATAATACTTATAAATTACAAATCTGTCTAGCATATTTGGATACTTATGTATACTTTGCTAATGTGAAATTTGGGAATGACAGAAAATGTTAAATACACAACATTTACATATTGGGTAAGTGCCTCCACAATCATTCAATTTGATATTTAAAATAAATTTTGTTGAACAATTATACACTTTCATCAAGAAAAAAGTTTGCATACCATTGAAAATTATTCAAACCTCACTTAACCACTAAGTTTTGTTAATCTTGTTTAGAAATCCAATCTGGTTTTCCCAACAACAAAAAAAAAAAATCTAAATCAAACTTAAATTAACTTCAATAACATAAAAAAATTAAGAAAAAAATTATCTTATCCACCACAAGTGAAAAAGTTTTTTTTTTTTTTTTTAATTTCACGTAGATGGAGAATCTAATATAATTTAATTCAAATTCAAAAAATATTTAAAAAATCAAAATGAAAATAATTTTGTATAATTAAAATTATTAAAATTTAAATTTAATCACTAGAATTAAAATTTTAATATTATATCAATAAATTATATAAAACTATTGACAAAATAAAAAAAAAAAAGTCTTAATCCAAACTCAATCGGATCTGACTCATCTTTGCCATTTGCCAGATAATAATACCATTTTTGGTTTTTCTTTTAAATTTTTTAAATTTCCATATCTCATTTTCTCATTGAGAAAAAAGCTTTGATATATTTTATTTATACATGAATGTATAAATTTCGGAAATGGGTTGTCCCTTATAAGCCATTCAGATTTGAAATTAGCAGGTGCCATAATCTTACAAAATTACACCACATCGCTTTACCTTCGAGTAGTTTTGTTCATTTGTCCTTTTTTTTTTTCGGTTCTACCCTTCAATTCACAGAAGAAACACGGTTTAGATTTATATCTTCATGTCGACACTGGGTGACGACGAGTTAAGCTTAGTTCTCAAATGGGTTTATGACCAGAATGACAGGAAGTCCTTCTCTCAAGTCTGCAAACATTGGCTGCGAGTGGAAGGGTTAACCCGATTATCCATTCGGATTCTCGAACCTGATCTCATTCCCAATTTTATGCCCAGATTCCCAAATTTGCTTTTCTTTGAAACCCCGATGTTTATCTCCAATTCCCACGTTGAATTCGTGGCTAAAACATGTCCGAAACTCCAAGTTCTTAACCTTAATCTTAGGAAAACACGTGAAGAATTGGATGAAGTTGATGGGAATTCTGGTCTTGAAGATGTTGGGAATGATGGGATTTGCGCTTTGGCTCATGGGTGTCCAAATTTATCGAAAGTTTTGTTGAGAAAAAGAAAGAATGTAGGGAATTTTGCAGTTATTTCCCTTGTTAAATTCTTGCAGAATTTAATGACTTTGGATTTAGGAAGGTGTGATTTGGTGGATGACCAAGCTATTGAAGCAATCGGGTATTCGAATTCGATACTGGTTTTGAATTTGCAAGCTTGTTCATTGGTTACTGACCATGGATTGGCTGTTTTAGCCACTGGGTATATCTCAAAAACATTGAAAAAATTGATTCTTGCCGAGTGTGATCGCATTACTGATTCTGGGGTGTCAATGTTGAAGCATATTTGTTGTTTGGAGGAGTTAAATTTAGCTGAATGTGGGCCAAAGATAACAGATTCTGGTGGGATAGCAGTTTCTTTAGTTACAAATCTTAGGAAATTGAATTTGTCTTGGTTGGTCAACTTATCAGATGTCACAGTAATTGCAATTGCTAAGAATTGTGTGAATTTGGTGGCTATTGATTTAACAGGTTGTGAGTTGGTCACTGGAGTTGGAGTCAGAGCATTTGGGAATCATAAATCCCTAGAGTATCTTGCGTTGGCTTCTTGTTACAATATTTGTATGGATGATTTGAATATTGTGCTAAGATGTCGGTCACTGAGAGACATTGTGCTTGATAAAGGACTGAGACTGTGGATACCAATGGCAATGCAGGTGAATATCAGCAGGTTTTGTCTATTGCACTGGAGGTGAAGGATGAACGGAAGGGTTAGAAGTTTTTGTAGGATAGAATTGGATTACATCAAAGTTAGTTCTTGATTTTGTCAGAAATTCTTATTGATATGCTTTTTTTTTGTTTATAGTTTACACAAGCCTCAAATCTTGTACTATCATTTATATTTTAAAACAAGCAGATGTTCAGATTCCCTTATCTATCATTCATGTGGACGACTGATAGTTTCACTAATTCCTTGGAAATATGCTTCATCATCTTTTGTTCTGGTTGCTTTTAAACTGATTGAATTAGTGGCCTAGTGCTTTTAAACATTTAAAGACTAGGATGTTGGAAGTTGGATAAATGTTAGTAAATGTCTTCCCTCCGTGAGTTTAAATTTTAATTAAGGCAAGGCATTGATGTTCTTTAAGATAATTGTTGAAGGAAGCTAAGAAGTAGGTTGTTTGTGATTGGAGCAGCCATGATTTCTTGCTGAAGTTGCAAACTTTGTTCTTTCATGGTGTTGTGAAGCTTTTGCCTACTTTTCCTTGGAGGTTTAATACACATTCATTAATCCAACGCATCCATATTTTTCTCCGTTGTTAATTTAACCAAATAATAAGCATAAGTTAATGGTTGACAACGTTATGTCACTTTCATCCCTATGCCATATGATTTCTCCATTATAAAGCCTCTGGGAGCTGCTTAAATGGGCAATTCGTTCTTTAGATCATGCCCTAGTCCACTTGGTGAGGAAAAAACCTAATTGCTCCACTTTCAGCCAACAGTTTGTTGTAGATTCCCCCTGAAAAGTTTACGTTGACAAAGATAAAGCCTTTAGGTCATCTCGCCAATTGACGAGCTTTGCAGCTATTACGTTTGTTGCCAGCTTCGTTAAAGGTGTGCAGTTGTCTGTTCTTTTAACATATTAACCTGAACAAAGGACAGGACCATTGACGAAGACATAGATAACTATTACAATTTGCATGTGCAAGGGTAAAACATGGTAAAAGCATAAGGCCCAATTATTGAACTATTGATGCAATACTGCAATTTATAAGGGTTTAAGGCCCCATATTTGGGACTACGGTCCAATCTATCCGTTCCTTGTCCGAGAAATCGCAAAGGAAAACTGTCCTTCCCTTCCATTTGTTAAACCCAAAACAAAACCCCACGCCCCAGTGGAAGAAAAAGAAAAAAGAAAGAAAATTAAGGCAAAAAGATGGGACCATCTTCGACAGTGAGAGCAGTTGGTGCAATTCTGCACAGATTTACAAATGGGGTTCCCTCGACTTCCTTGATTGTTTCTCGGGATGGCCTATTAAAAAGTAGTAGGAAATTATCATCAGCATCATCAGTATCATCTTCCACTTCAATATTGTATCAAGTTAACGCTAACAACACTCAGCATCAACTCCGAAGTATATCCACTTTCCCTCCTCTTTGCATGGGCAGGCGTTCTTCCAAGATTGCTGGCAGAAAGGTCTCTTTTCTCTTTTTTCTCACATGCCCACATTTTATAAATTCAAAAAAATCCTTCTTTCAAAGAAAAAAAATGGTTCTCTGAACAAATGTAGTTATTTTATGGTTTAGATGCCACGTGTTTGATGAAAAACCTGAGGGCAAAAAATTCAATTGTAATTTGGTTTATGATATGGAATTTGTTTAATTCTAGGCTTAATCCTTTATTTTTAAGAGTTGAGCATTTTTAGCACGGAACTGAAACCTGCTCTGTTTGTTTCGCTTATGCCTTTACCTTTTATATATGCGGTCAAAAACTCAAAATCAATTAAATAATTTTATGCTACTGTTTTATTTAAATTCAGGGTGCTCAAGATGCAAAGAAGGCTAAAATATATTCAAGGATTGGAAAGGAAGTTGTATCTGCGTAAGTTGGTAGCTCACAGATAGTCAAGCTCCCTGCTTGATTTGCTACATTAATTCAAAAAGAGTTTTGTAAATTGGTTTTTGTTAGTAAACTGGAGGAAATTCTATTGTGTTTTGCGAATTGTTTCTACTAGTTCGTTCAACTTTTGTACTTTGCTGTACGGGAACTGAAATCCTCGTAAATTTAATTCTTTATGTGCTGCAGTGTAAAAAAAGGTGGTCCAAATCCAATATCAAATACGGTTCTTGCAGCTGTGCTAGAGAAAGCCAAGGAGCTTGATGTACCCAAGGAAATTTTGGAGCGTAACATCAAGAGAGCTTCAGAGAAAGGACAAGAGGCATACATTGAGAAAGTTTACGAGGTTGGTGTTTCAATACTGTCTACATTATTTATAGATTTGTTGCTAAAGTGATTAGTCATTGAGTGTATCTTCTTGTATTTAGATCCTCTGATAGTATAGAAGACTGGATTTTTTCTGCTCTTCAAGTATACTGCTTCTTTCAGGTATATGGTTATGGTGGAGTTAGCATGGTAGTCGAGGTCTTAACAGATAAAATAACCAGGTCTGTAGCAGCTGTTAGGGAGGTAGTCAAGGACTATGGAGGAAAGATGGCAGATCCTGGGTCTGTTATGTTCAAGTTCAGGCGTGTTCGAGTTGTGAATATAAAAGTCACTGATGCTGATAAAGATCAGCTCCTTGCCATTGCATTAGATGCTGGTGCTGAGGATGTTGTTGAGCCTGCAACATATGAAGATGATACTGATGAGGATAGGTCAGAGAGGTAATGCTCCCACTATTTCAAACTGAAATCTTTCTGATTGCCCTCTCCTTTTTGTACTTAACGCATCTTCTGGACTGATTTTCATTGTGAATATCTTTAATACTTGCCATAAATTAATGCATCATCTGGACTGATTTTCATTGTGAATATCTTTAATACTTGACATAAATTAATTCCTCACCTTTGTACATAAATTTAGAGGAATTAATGTAGCCATCTTCTCCATATATTTTCTGTTGTAGAACAAAAGAGCTCTTTTACTGAGGTTAAGGGGCCATCATTGTCGGTGCCTTAAAGCATGTAAAATGAAATTAGCAAGTGCGGCTAATCAAACCTACTCCTGGTGCACATGAAGTTGCAAAACTATGAAATTTTATTGTTTGCATGAAATCTTTAAGTGACTTCTGTTTTCTTTTTTGAATGGATATTGTCTGTGCCTTAAATGCATGATTTTATATTTGTTATCTGATGAATCCACTATGAAATCTGTATGCTTTAGTAAGTTCGCATATCTGATCTCCAATTATATGTTACATTCCAATCCTATTTTTCTTTTCAAATATTTAAGTTGTTTTACCACTTGGCTGGGCAAAGTCTAACCTGATTTCTCAATATAGCTATTATAAGATTGTAAGTTCAGCAGAAAACTATGCACCAATACTTTCAAAGTTACGTGATGAAGGAATAAATTTTGAGACTGATAATGGTTCTGAGCTACTTCCAATAACCACCATTGAGGTATTTTTCTGTAATGTTTATAATTTCTGTGATCTGCCTTTGATTTCTGCTAAATCAGGATCTTTTTGCTTTTCTATGTGGCTGATGTTGACCTTACATTTTGCCAAATGCTTAGCACACATTTAAACTGGCTAATCAGTACTTTAATATTACCTTGTTTCAGCATCCTACCTATTTTGGTGGTGAAATCATTGATATTTTGGTTGGTTTCAGGTGGATGATGAGGCTATGGACTTGAACAAGGAACTTATGTCTAAATTACTTGAACTTGATGATGTTGATGCTGTTTATACCGACCAGAAGTGATTTATATCTAGACCATTTCCGTGATGGAATTGATGTTTCTGAGTCAGTTAACCTGTAGTTAGTGCATAAATCACAATCTTGGCTAGATTGTTGCTCGTTTTAGCAGGGGCTTTCCCAGAGGACCTTCTTTTGATAATTTTCTCTGTTACTCTTTTTACAAATTCTAAAGAGCTGCCATGGCTGAAACCACGGTTTGCTTTTTTTTTTTTTTTTCTTGAAAATAAATACATTTATCCAATTTCTTTTTTATCAAGAGTTCATGATTAAATACCAATTATTCACTCTGCTTTAACACTAATAAGATTGATAGTTTATAATTTTTGCTTACATATGGTCATGAATGCTCTAAGGGGCTAAAGAGTATCTCTTTCACCCGCAACTATAGACCTTTCACTACTCTGCGATCCACACAATATATTCCTTTTCTTTTCTTATTGTTATTTATTTTCCTGCTAATTTCTCCTCCATATTAATATGTACACCTCACATTAATTAATGATATTAAATGCATAGATTATCATATCACACGGCTCTCTCTGGCATTCGGTCTGGTCCATGATCTATGGGCCAATTCATATTACTGATGTGATTTCTTAGGGACCCAACATCCATGTAGCCCATATGGCAGACCATAAGGGAGCTTTGCTCTTGCAATTTCTTCAAATGTTGATCCGTCCAACAATAAAGCATAGCCACCTCCATTTTTCTCACTAACCAAGGAGATAACAATACCTACAAAGAGCAAAAATAAAAGGGAATTATTTGATCATATCAATTTATCAATCATTTTACTATGGTAAAATCCATGTTCAAGATTAAATCAGAAAAAAAAAAAACCAAACTTTAAATTGCGGAGAATACAATGATCAATAGCTCACCATCATCTTCCTCGGTCGCCCCTGGCCGAGCAACAAAGAACGGTTCGGACGGCACAGCCCCCTCATCATGCCAATTCTTTGCCTTTTTGTTTACAAAATCAAGCTGCAATAGCATTAAAAAAAAATCAGCACATTTTAGAGGTTCAATGTGGTAGCTAGCTAGGTAGAGTGATGTAGTCTATCATCACAAAAGTTAAACTACCTTGGTGAGGGTATTGGGGAAGTGACATGGGCGTTCGGCTCCACAAGCGTAAGCATATCTGTATTTTTTACCCAAATAGGCAGGGTTGATGCTGCACATGTCCATGCCTCTGCCATGTTCATCGGGGTCCAATGCTGCCTCTAACTTTCCATAGAGACTCCCATCCAATGGAATTGTAAATCTTCCGACCCTGTTAATCAATTAAGTAATTGTTTAATTCCCACCTTTGGATTAATCTCTATACATTTCCTTCAACAGTCTTATTAAGAAATCCTTCAATATATACAAAAATTTTGGCTATATAAAGTACATGCTAATGTGTAGCAGTCTATTTATGCTAAGGATATGATTTTTATTCTGGCCTACATCTTTTGACCTCGGCAAGTATGAGCATGACCAATATTCTTTTAAAGCATGCATGCAGGGTTCGGAACGTGCAATGCTCAGAGCAAATTAATCAAGCAATAAAGAAAAAGCAAAGCCCATTTAAATGCCTTCAGATCCCCCTATCAAACCATCAAAGATAAAAATATGGATTATAAAAAAGTTTTCCCATGGTGTTTGATTAGTGATAAATTCCATAAGAATAAGAAATTAGAACTAGCGGACAATCCAGATGCAAACAGAAAAAAAACCATTAAATATTAGTAGGTATGTTTTGAGTTGTGATTGTGAAGGAAATTGTGTTATACTATAGCATAGTATTAGAAAATACACATACTACCTTGCATCTGGTAGTACGTCCTCGCCATTGAAAGACCGGAGATTTTGAAGCCTAAGCTTATCCAGAATTGTGGTGTCGGCGTTATGTTCACAACAATCAGCGACAATAGCAGTCACCCTCCCATCTTCATCTTCCTCTTCGTATGCATTGATGAAATGAAATGTCACGAATAATGGAACTTCCACACTCGCCACCTTCAGAATTTTCACAATTTAAGAATCCAGCCACCTAAAAGGAACAGGACTAATTGGAAAGAAATCAAATAAATGGAAACTTACGATTTTTCCACTAGCTTTACACATAACATGAACAAAGGCTTTAGATTCAGGATGCCACCCGAATTTGTACAATGGAGTAGGTTCAGCTCTGAGTAAATTTTGTGCACAGTACCTCAATGGCATTTCAGGCACAACAACATAATGCTCAGTCACTGGAAACGAATGGACCCAACCTGGAGCTGGTCCTCCCCTGCAACTGACCTTTCCAATCACCTTCCTTTCATTTGTCCCTGGCTCCATTCTCACCACCATGTATCCAGGGTTCACCAAATCAGGTAACAGGGTCAAGAACTCGGCGTCTGTCACTATTGGATGTGCTGAGTGTATCAAACCCCCCAAGCTGTCACTATATTCAAACTTCCCGACTGTTTCCAAGCTGCTCGGATCGATAACTAATGACCCTTTTTGTGTTTCTGTCAAGCAAACAACACGTCCATCTCCAAGCTTGACAACGCCCGTGTTGGCGTTATCTGTTAAAGAAGCTCCAGAGAAGAGCTTTGCAAGGTCCCCAACATAAGCCATGAAGTTTTCATGTTTTGGAACTTCTGAGAATTCTCGGAAGCAAATCTTTTTATTTTTCATTGCAGCCTTATAGGCTTCCGATTCAATTTGGCGGTGACCGGCGATTAACCGGCCGTTCTCGAATTGGAGTTTGACTAGTGTGGCATAACCGTCAAATAGGTGACGGAAGTTGTAATCTTCGATATGCCATAGACCTGGGCCATTTCTGAGGTATGTCCCTTTCTGCATCCCATTAGGGTAAATTAATTAATGAAAATTCACCATAGAAAATAAACACTTGATATTGATTTTTATGTTAACAAATCTCTAGTATTATATAAAGAAATACTATATATTAATCTTATTTAAAGTTTGTTCAACCAAAAATTTTTGTTATACTATATTCATGTAGTCAAGATTTTATGACATATAGTCTATACTCTATAGTTTATAGTTGACACAAAGGACATTATGATTACGGGTGGATCAGTTGTTGAAGAATTTTAAAAACATTTGTTCTTTTTCTAGATTTATGAATTACAAATAGTTGGATTAATTTAATTAATGAAAGAATATACTTGAGGATCACCTAATTCTGACACCCAGAAGAATGTGTGTATTAGCTACGTACCATTGTTTCCCTTTGTTTATAATGGGTGGACGGTGGACCATTGGTATTGGTTAGAAAAAGGAATTCGAAAGATTGGGAAAAAACAGAGAGAAGGAAACTAAAAAAATGAAAAGGGAAAAGTAGCCTTGCTTTTCAGTAACATCCAAAGGAGCTCTATCTACCCTTTTCATTATGATGAAAACATAGAGTTGATGTATTATTTGTGTTTAAGTTTTTGTAGCAAAATTTAGATCTTCTTTTGGGCCTTTGAATGGATTGAAGAGGATAAAAAGGGGCAAAGAAGGGCCTGTGGAAATAAACATTAAGTGATGAACATGTTTTTGATCGGAATACAGTGATTTTCTTGATTTGTTTGCTTAATTATAATGAAAGGTTAATGTTTGCATGTTAAAAAAAGAGTAACTAGCTAGTAGTATTAATTATAGTATTTTTACGTACCAGCCATAAAGGTATTTCTCCTTGTACAACCAGCTCTCCTTCCCATCGTTCTTGTCTAACACTCGTCCATGCAACGTGGTTCCGGTCAGGGTAGACGATTTGATTCTCCAGGGATGGAACAGTCACAGGTCTCAATGGACTCGCAACATGGGTGATTGTTAAGCGTCGTCCGTCCACTTTCGTAGCAAAACTAGACTTGTTCCGCAAGAAAAACCCATCTTTTCTATGATTGGATTGATCGAAATCCAACATAGGTGACGGTGAAACATGGCTCCTGCAGACACCTGTAAATGATAGGGAATCCATGTGAGAGAGCAGGACCAGATATGTGCAGCTGGACAAATTACTAAGGACAAAGGGTTGAGATAGTTTAATCAAGGGCGTAGATACCATATAGCATTTATAGGACGACCTGGGGCGAGGAAAGTTAGAAGTTAAGGGAACCAATACTTGGAATCTTAATTGGTGGAATTCCTTCGCACTATAAGACACAGGCTTTTCTCTATTCAATTATAAAAAAAAAAAAATTAATGGTTAATAATACTTTAGAAACAGGAGATAGAGTAATTGTAAATGGGGTACTGGTCGAGTGACCGCAGCACATGGGGTTCATTTTTTCTACTAAGAAAAAAGTGCTCATCACTTCAATATTGTCATTTTCTTTGTCCTTGATGACCCGGCAAGGATGTTTTGGTGATGCTAACGTTGCCAAAGGCTGATGCTTTTAGTAATGGATGCTGCCTCATCAGGGATCTCAGATTTTGAAATCTTCAGGTGCCAGGTGCTGTAACTCTTATATTAACATTTATCCAGGAATCTTATATATTATATATGTGCGATCTGGTTAGCTTTGGTTCAAGCTAATTTTATATCCCAAATGTAAAGCATAATTAGGGTTTTAGATAATGAGTCCAACTAAAATACTAGTTCGAATTCTTTTATCAATGGACATACTAGAATTAGTTTCATTTTTTTGCATCTTCATAATCTAATAGCTAGGTTCATTTTCTTACCAAAAAAAAAAGGGTTCATATGTGTGTATCGATTGTATACTCGGTTGAGTCAACATTTTTGAACAAAGCAAGTAGTCTTCATTGTCATCAAATTGAGGACTCAGTTGAGAAGATTTTGCAATGACAAAAGCATTCTGTCAACATCGTCGTCATTGATGAGGTGCTTCGGTGCAGCTATTAGCCAATGAGGTTCTAACAACCTCTTAATCTATAGTACCTAGTTAGTAACCCTAAGGTAGGTCATAGAGAACCTAGATATCTTCAAGGGGCTCCAAATTTGATCGTGTTTGCGGCTTGGGTTGCCCACACGCGAGACAACCTAGCTCATCAGTAGCTCAAAATTTGATCATATTTATCCATCGATCACACGATTAATTAATGTCATTTTAATGCTATGAGATGAGATATATAAACATAATTAATATATATATATATATAAATTTGTATGGTTAAAAAATTTAGGGTCAAATGCTTATTATTGGAAAAAGCTGGTTAAGGGGAATTAAAAGAAAGGCCACGAGGCAATGGTGTAATATCTCACCGTCCAAAGTGGAATATTGAACAAAAGCCATCCTTCGAATTCCAAAGCCACAATGATTTTTTCCATGAACAAAAGGAGAAAAAAAAAATACACCAACTTCCATGATTCTGTGTTTCATAATCTCATTAATTCATAGTCCATACCCCTTTCGGAAAGTGGGAAACCTCAAGTTGCTACTTTACAATAATTAGAGTACGTGTGAGGTTGGTGACAAGTATGATCCGGGGTCCAGATGTTTGCCACCTAGTCCCATGAAAATGAAAAATACAGTTTGAAAATTTACGATTTGCCTTTTATTGGCAAGCAATATTCTTCCTTTTACTACATTTTGTCACCCTGAACATGTAATTTTAATCATAGCTATTGCTGCTGTGGATAGAAAAAGTGTTTGTGCCTTGGGTATGCTTCAACAATACAAAAATCCCAATTAGTATTTTACATTCTGGATCCTTCTGATTTTTCATGGAAACGATAAAAAACCTTACATCTTACCTACATTTACTTTGGTAAATGCCCACCAGCTTCAGCCTATAGTACTCGATAAATGTGGAAGTTTTCCATTTAATATAATTTGAAAAGCTTTGTACATATAGTCATATGCATAAATATAGCACCTAAATTATAGACAATTCAAGCATAAAAAAAAGTTTATTCATGTGAGATGGGGCACTATGTAAAGAAATTAAATTTAAAGAAGGACAGATCAGGTTGAAGATGGCTTATTGATCAACGGATTCGGATTCAAGTATTTTGGGACCTTGAGGCAGAATCTTTTACTAGTCAAAAGGTTTATATATATATATATATATGTTTATATTCAAATTAAGAAATAAAAGGACTAAAAGCAAAGGGTAAGCTTCAGGAATTATCTTAACCATATTTGAATTCCTTATCATTTGTAGCTGATGACTTTTATGCAATTCCAGTAATCCATAAAAATCAATACATAAATCATCTTGAGGTGTCCAATGGTCTTCTTGTCTTAGTCTAAAAAATTTGTTAAAAATTAATGTCTCTAACTCTTTAAAATAATTTTTGAACAAGGTCTCATTACTCTATGAGATGAGTATATGTGACTATATAGAAAGAATATTCAAGTTTCAAACCTTAAAAATATTGTATGGTTTCAATAATTTGAGCTTGGAAATGTGAAGGCATGCATATATCATAATTCACTCAGCATCACTGTCGAATTAAGAGATTGTTGAAAGGATAATACGTACCGTACATATATTATGTAATATGATGGAAAACCAACTTTAATGGAGGAAATTGATTTTGAAATTTGTCAAAAATCCACTTGCCCTAAGTTTGTCCTGATTCTCTTTCATCCATGTTGAATTTTTCTAGTTGTATGGGAGGATTACTGTTTCAACTGCACTAAGAGATCAAATACCCTTGTAGTTGCTGAGGTCTCTTCATGCCTCTCTTGATTCCTACAATTATCGGTTGAAGTGTGTGGTTTAATTATTTCATTTTGTGGCAGACAAAATCAGGGTTTCCCCACAACAACTTCCCTTAATTTAATTAGGGGTTAACAAATTACGTAATCAGTGGATGGTCCAATGTCCATGATTGCAATGGGGATCCATTTGTGAATGCTGATTTCAGATTTCAAGTGTCACAATATTTTTGATTAGCAACTTGTGTTGGTTTAATTAGTAGCTAGCTAGGGCACATTGATCTATATCGATCCCTACGTGTTTTATTCTTCTTTCTAGAAGGTTTCATTCGTCTTAATTTCAAGTTAATCCATGTCAAGAATGTCAGCTTCAATTGATTTAAGGTGGACGGAGAATCCCAATTCTAAGACAATACAAATTGAAACAACTAATATGGAATTCCAAAGATTTTCAAATGCACAGATGCTCTCAGAAGAATGCAAGATTGAAGCCCCATAATAGCATCTTGTCAGTTTCATTTAGTTGACAATTTGATAATAATGCCTTGAATCATAGTCTCCAATCATTTTGATCCTTGACTAAAATTGATGAAGCCAAAGGTAAATTATTTTTATTTTTTATTAAATCTGTGTAAAATTCGAATTATTTTTTTTAGATTTTAGATCAAATTCAATCCATTTAGATTTTGAATAAAAAATTTTTAATTTTAAATCGATTTGATTTAAATTATTATCTTATTAATAAAATCTATTTTTATTTGGCTGGTTTTAAAATATATTTATAAATATTAAAATAATATTTTAATATTATTTTGACTATCGATGGATCTAATGGACTCGAATAAACCGATTAAGCTTTGGTCACGGCTCTAAAATGTCAACTGGTTTGACCCAACTCAAAAACATTTTTATTGCTGATTATCATTAAATTAATTTCAATTGTATCTTCAATTATTAACAGCTAAAAACAATTTTATATAACAAAAAGCTGAAAGCCACTAACCATCAATTTTAGTTGTAAATTTGCATATTTCTAATTAAGCAAGAAGCAAACAACGAAACTTTTTCATTTACATTTTACTTCAATTTTGCAATTGGTAAACTTGTTATCAAGAAAGTAACTTTCTTAACCTTGCTTCTTTCCAAAGACACCAAACAGGAATCCCCAGTCAGCAGGGTGGCATATTTCGGACACTTGACGACAAATAGATCATTGTAGAACTACCTACCCTCGATAAGACACCCCATATAATTACAAGTTACAGAAAGCCATACATAAACATTGTTTTTACCTCCATCACAAGCCAAGTAATGTACGTCTTGTAATTGAACACTTGAAAATTCGATTAAACTAATCAATAATTCTATGGATTTCTCCCCTGTTTTTTCCCCCTTTTAGCATTGAATATGGCGAAATCCGTGGAAAATATCTCAAATATTCGAGTAAAAAAATTGCATGAAAGGGATGATCGTGGTTGCTGAGTCAAAGTGTTACTTCATAATATAAAATGTCAATGTCGGTACATTTCCGAAGTTACGTTATTGCATTACTATATTGATCAACCTAGCCATGTTTCAACCAGAGATCTGACTCGTATTGACGAAAGTTTAAGGTAAGCATTGGCAAAGTAGTTTGGCCTGTGTGTGATGGACAACGTACAAATATATATATATATATATATATATATATACATATTAAAGAATTATTTTATATTTATAGAGTTTCCAATAAAAGCTTTTATCGAAGTAGACTTATTCGTTTGTCTCGTACTGAAAACCCAAAAATACCTAAAAAAAAAAGTTATGAAACTTGGTATATTTGTTGTCGTGTTTCATGATGCTTGCTAGATGCTGAAGCTTACATTTTGTTTTCTATCTGGATGGAGATGGTGAACCAACATAGAATCCTAGGCCAATTATCTTTGTCTTTTCACCAAAAAAAAAAATTTTTTTAAAGTTATCAGAATATGATATCGGTATAGCATTTTCAACATAGTGTTTGCTTCCTAATTCTGATAAAAGGAAAAACATAAAAAAGTGAAAGTGAAAGTGAAACCTCGATATTGTTGGGAATATTGACTCAAATCCCATAAGAGATTTGTTTGAGATTTGTTTGGGATTTGTCAGATATTGCTTGATGGATAAGAAGACTTGCAAAAGAAGAATTCCAAGAGAAAGAGGATTCTTAATAGGTAAGTTTGACTTGCAAGAGAAGAATTCTAAAAGGAAAAGGATTCTTAATAGGTAAGTTTGACTTACAGGAGAAGAATTCTAAGATGAGAGGGATTTTTAATGGGCAAGTTTGTATGGTTATAAATAGGTGAAGTCTCTACAGGGTTAGGTATGAGAAAAAGATGTAAGAGGGTTGTAGGGTTTTGTGGGATAGACACCCCATAG